TTGGCAAAATCGGAGTGTACACTGTAAATACTGCTTCAATCATCTTCTTTCTTACATAGGTTTCATCAACAACACCAATTGAAAGTCACGCTGGTATACGAGCAAGTACACCAGCCCGTCTATGAGGCAAGCCAGACGATGTATTTTACAAAGATGATGCGGCTTGCCACCCGTCTCGTGGGAGACATGCACGTGCGCGTGAATTGTCACGGCGTGATGGTATTTTCAGTTAGTAGGATCTCGCGCGAGGACTCAGGCTCAATTTTTTTTCTCAACTTCTGTGGGTGAGAGTCCTGCTACGGCTGGAGGTCTCCGTGCGAGCTCTATGACCTCGCAGAAGTACTATAATAACTATATCATCATCTGCCATGGCTTGCTCCTCGTTTGGGCATAAACATTTCCCCTTCCTTTACGTTCAACCTCATCACGAGTCTTCCCGACTCTCAGCTGGAAATTAATATTCCTCAGGATGAGCCACACCAAGATGAGGCCTACAAAGGTGTTCACTCATCTCCCTCTCGCGTTCCAGTCAATTTTTTTGACCCAGTTGGTGTTAGCGAACTTAAACGCACAATGACATCACGTTCCACACGTTCTCAAGTTAATCATCGGGAAAGCTCTCGTCGCGGAAGTTCACCCAAGCCTCCTATGCCTGCCTCAGCAAAGGGCATCGACACTCCAAGTTCATCCTCTGTGATTCCAGCATACGATGATGATGCTTTCGATTTTGAAGTCACGCTCAAAGACCTCGTCAGACGATGAGTTCCGCCATAAAGAAATTAGTTGCGTTTGTCGATATATTACTAGTCGTGGCGAAGAGTCCATTAAGGGCCGCGAGCTTAGCGTTATGTTCAAGGATCTCCGTATCGTCGGTGTCGGTGCACGTGCCTCTTTACAGCTCACCATCGGTTCTATGCTTAATCCTGCTGCCATCTTGAGGAACACTTCGGCGATGCGCAACCAGCCTGTCAGGATATTTTCTCAGGATTCGAGGGTATCGTTGCGCCTGGTGAAATGCTCCGTTAGTCGTTTTAATGAACTAACGTGAAGTTAAATTTTCGCGCTAATCACGTGTTCGCGACAGTAGCTCTCGGACGACCTGGTTCCGGTTGCAGCACGTTCCTATTGCAAACCAGTGTGGGGAATACCATGCTATACAGAGCGAAGTATGCTATGACTTCTTCACCCCCAAAGATATCGCAAGACAGTATCGTGGAGATGTGATCTACTGTCCTGACGATGATGTCCACTTTCCGACCTTGACTGTAGAGCAAACCTTGTCTTTCGCCATCAAAATGCGTACTCCACATGCTCGGTTCATAGACCAAACCCGTGAACAGTTTAATCGTGATGTAGTTGATATCCTCGTGCGCATCTTCGGTCTTCGTCATGCGCGAAACACTGTTGTCGGTGATGCTGCCATTCGTGGTGTTTCAGGAGGCGAAAAGAAACGTGTCTCGATTGCAGAAGCACTGTCTTGCCGTGCCCTCATTGGCGCGTGGGATAAGTGAGGAGGTAAAACGTGTTCATACGATGACAGTCTTACATCAGTCGGATACATGGGATATCGGGACCCACGTTGAAGACACAGTCGGCTGGAGTCTGCTGGCACTAGCCGTGGTCATCGCCAATGCGACTCTTCGGTGAGTGATGTCACCTATTCCAGACGTTCAATACTTATCTAGGATGTAGGGGGATTCCTGGCAGGATTCGTTGTTCCCCACGAAAGCGGTCTTTGCTATCGCACTAACGGAGAAGCTCGAATATATGGTGACGATCATGTTTTGCCTCTGGTATGGTATTTGAATTGCCACGTGTATGAGACTAATATCTTCACAGTACTTCGCACTCTCTGGCTTAAATACTAACCTTGGATTGCTTGACAACGGTCAGTCCTCAATCATAACTCGCATTGATGAACCTTTGCGGCAGGCATCACTTGGGGATTCACTTACGCAATTATATGTGTGGACTCTTCTGGAAAATTCACTGCATGTACGATCACCACACAGATAACCGGAATGAGTTGGCGAGGGTCAAGCATCGTCAGATCATTGAATAGCTTCAATGCTGCCGTACGACTCGAGGCCCGGGAGTACTAGTATACGACAACGTGCACACCCGGAAATTGGCTAGCAATCGGCTTCGAGCTGAGCTTGAGAACAAGGGTCTTGCCAATGCGTCTGCTATTTTACGTGCGTTGTCTTCTTTTTCCCGCTCCTCTCCGACACCAACGTCACGGTGACTCGGATAATTGAATATGTACAGCCCTGTGCACATCATGATTTCATAGACTTGGAGCGGAGATCATCGATCTTGTGGGGCTCGCTCAAAGCCGTTCGTATATTAGGGAAGTTCTTACGCGTTTCATCACATTAGTACTTGCATTAACCTGTTGCAGCAGATTTCGAACCAACTCGAACTTAAAATTGCCCCAAACCAGACGGCCAAGCCAGCCCGTCCCTGAGTTTTCATGACTATCGTACTGTTCAAGTGGTGCTACTGGTCGTCTGCGAGTCTTGATGTTGGATTCTGCAGGTAAGTGCGTGCTCGGTCACGATTTATCACGGTAACATTAACGCTGTAGATGTAGATCAGAGCCTCACATATGCCGTCAGTCACTTGTTTGAATCTTCCGGATCAACACCTTGTTAAAGATAACCTTAGTTGCCTATTTGGCGTATATTATGTTTCAATCCAGTATGCCGCATCCCATAGGATGGATGATAGCTTGGACGAATATCAAGCTACTTCCGACTCGAAACTTAGAATCTTTGAGCCTTCGAGTGACGATGTTCGCTAATCGATGAAACCTTGCGAAGGGGGTTCTTGTTCGGTCCGATGCGCATCGCCATGGAATTTCGAGTTGTTAGCGGCCCAACACGTCTTATTAACGACTCTTACCTCAATTTTTCAATGCAGCAACCCCATTATCAATAGTGGTAGAAGGTAATTTAAAAGTCGCCCCAAACCCTCTGGGCTGGCTACCGCCAGCGTAATTTCAAGGTGAATTGAATCTATTATTAAATCGTGCCGATGCTGAAAGCCAAATCAGGAATCTCCCAAATAGCGCCCGTACCTCATGGTTCGGCCTAGCGGCTGCAATAAAACTTATATGCTGCCACCTGTTGTTGCATCGAAACTGCCACTAGATTCCAATGCACTCAGGCTCGTACAATGAACAGCCCCTTGACACTTTTATTGACACGTCTAATGATAATGTCCGCCAGAGCAGCCATTTCACCTATCCCCTCGCTGCTAGCTCTCAGGCTGACTTGGGCTACCAGCAGTCCTTATCCAATGACACTCAGGCTGTTTCGTTTTCCCATCATGACTCGGACTTCTACTACCGTGGCGACGTTGTGAATGCGCAAGCGAGCCATCAGATTTTTCTCGCAGACTCTCAATCTTCGAACTCACTTCAAACCTCAACGTCGTCAATCCGTCAGCGTCACTCCTCCATGACCCGTTTCATTCGCCCCTAGTAATTCACAGGCAGGGTATCATCCGATTTACAACTCTTCTGCTCCTTACGCGGACTCCGGGCCACCACATTTGTATCCTCCTCAGTACCTTTCCGCATTTCCTCCTCCCATCGTGTCCGTTGACGGGATATCTACTTTGACACCAGAAGCAGAAGATATTCAGCCTCTTCAAATTGGAGAGCCACCGCTGCACCTCGACGGGCCACTACCTCTTGGAGATTCGTTCACTGTCGGTGAGCCTCCGCCTCCCGTTCCTGGTCCATCTGGATCACGCAGTCACCAACCGCCGCAAAAACCGATTGAGATTAAATTTTGGCCCTATCCGCATGCCCGATCAAAGCTGAGGGGCCTCAGTAGCACTAAGGTGAGCAATCATGATTTACAAATCGTCAATTACTGATGACTTATCAGGGCTCTTCGGGTGTTGCCCCGCCTATGGTCCTCCCACGGACATCTGCCATCGCGCCTTTACAATACAGCGACAAGATCCGAATCCACCGAAGAATTTTCGAAGAGGCACGTGTAGCGCTCATTTGATCCGCACTCGTAAATTGTCCCTTCTTGACCGAACAAGAAAGAAAGGAGGCAGCTCTTCAAGCACTGGTTTCAACAGCAGAGGTACATGATAAAAGTAAGCCGCAGTACCTTAAAATTGACGGTGTCTGATACTTCCACCAGAGCATGGGAACGGATGGGCGAAAGAAAACCTACCTGCGTTCTATAAGACCTTCACGGTGCCGCCGTCCGCTGATATCACATCAGCCTGCAAGAAAGCCGCCCGTGCCGTTGTTCAATTCGGGTACAAACTGCGCCCCTCAATCTGGTCAGAAGAGTCCGAACCACAGTATCAGATCGATGGGATAAAAGACCTCATTGACGACCCTTCATTCCCCTTAAAGTACATATTCGGGAATTCATCTGACCTCCAACGCAACAAATTGTTCACATTCGAACATCCCGTGATAGAAACCGTTCTTCTCAACGCGATTCTGAAACTCGGCTATGTGCCTTTCGTCACAGAACTTGACAGCTTGTATTGCACAGCTACAGCGGCCGTGGAGTGTGTTCTAATGGAGCTAGCGGGCGGGCAGTTTGCAGTGACCATTGATTTTGGGGTAACTAATTTCAAAGCTAAGCATACATTGCTACAGAAATACATTCACGACTTCATTCTACCCAACCCAGAATTATCGACGCGGTGGCAGCAGTACAAGCTGCGCACTCATGATAGATTGATAGATATATACAACGCTAACCATAATACTCACTGATGTTTGATTTTTGTACCTGTATATAATCAAATTGACCATAATCAGCCACAAGATAATTTTATGTGAACAACTAGCTTAACTTCCGATCACAACATCTTCGTCACACGACCTCCCTACTGTCGATGGGGATAATGTTACAGTTTTCACGCACCTCTTCTTGGGTGCAGAGCTTCATGTACCCACCGCAGAAGACATCGGCACACCCGGCCGTCTTGCAGAATGAATGGACGACAGCAAAGTTGCTGTCACGCACCTAACCCCTGCTATGGGTCAGTTACTCTCCGCACAAGCGACACGTCAGATCCCATCCCTACGAAACGCATTCTTCATCGGTGACGTCTTAACAAAGCGCGAAGTCTTCGAGTCACGTCTTCAACACGGCGGACTGACCCTTGAGCTTGATACTTGATGCTTTCGCTGTTGATGGCATGGAGGGACCGCGGCGCACTGGACGTTTTTTCTTATGGCTTGATGTGGCTCTTCCAAGGCACGTCTTCAGCACGACCGACTACTCTTCATTGTGATTTCAACCTCCATGGTGTAAGGCCGTGTGAACGCGAATCCTAAAAAATGTGAATCGGGCTTTCATTGACCTTGTTTATAGGGCATTCCCGCACTGTTCCGTTGGTTGAGCAAGAAATATCCGAAGATTGGTGAGCAACCGGTGCTTAACTGGTATTTGCTTGGCTAACAACTACCAGTATCATCTGTCGTTGAAGCTGAGGAGGAGGAAATTCTCGACGCAGCTGGAGATCCTATCAAACTTCCCATTGACATCACACAACCTAACCCCAATGGCGAGGAATTCGACAACTTATACCTGGATATGAACGGTATCGTGAGTGATCGTAGTAAATACGTTTTTCGTGCTGACCATCCGTACGCACAAAGGTTCATCCTTGTACTCATCCCGAGGGCAAAGTACGTATACTTCATTCTATAAATTTGCTTTACTCCCTGACTCGTCTTCCGCAGCCGGCTCCAGAAACGGAGGAGGAAATGATGCTTGAAATCTTCAAATACACTAACAGAGTGGTTAACATGGTGCGGCCGCGCAAACTTCTTTTCATGGCCATTGGTGCGCTTTACATTTATGTTGTCTCATACCACGAACTTACTGCAGAGTGGAATTAGACGGCATTGCACCTCGTGCCAAGATGAATGAACAGCGAGGTAGACGGTTCAGGACTGCTCAAGTAGCAAAAGACAAGGCGGAAGCTCATAAACTTGCTGTCACTGAGTGGGAAGGTACGTCGTTCTCAGAGCCAATCTATGCTGGATTTCTGACCGATTTCATCATTGCAGCTATGGGTAAAATTATTACTGATGACGAGAAAAACAAGGAATCTTGGGACTCTAACGCTATCACACCCGGTACGCCGTTTATGAACCTTTTAACAGCATTGTCACGATACTGGGTTGTGGAGAAGATGAATACCGATCCAGGGTGGAAAGATGTATGTAGTGAACGTTTCCTAGGGATCCTTCTGACTCATTTCTGGTATAGCTGCCAGTCATTATCTCGGATGCAAGTGTGCCTGGAGAAGGAGAGCATAAGATTATGGACTTCATACGCAGACAACGCACAAATCCCGGTCATGAGCCTAATACTCGACACGTAATTTATGGCTTGGTGGGTTGATTTCCCGCTATCGTGTTCTATGTTATTGACTGTATGTTCAGGATGCTGATTTCATCATGCTCGCCCTCGCGACCCATGAACCATATTTCCGAGTGCTTCGGGAAGATGTGTTTGCGCAGGACAAAGGTTCCGGGTGCCGAATGTGAGGACAAGAAGGTCACTATGCCGCTCAATGTACAGCACTGAAATCAGATATTAAAAAGCCTCCTCCACCAGAAAAAAAACCGTTCATTTTCCTCGATATCGCCATTCTGCGCGAGTATCTGGAATCCGAGTTGAATGTGAACAATACGCCCTTCCCTTTTGATTTGGAACAGGCTATTGATTTTCCGTAAGCGACAAGAGAGTGAGTATCTATGATGTGATCCGTCCACGCCTTAGAAACTTACCATATCTCAGCTGAGCAACGCCAAGACCAAGAGGCGAAACGTCATAAGATTGAAAAGTCTGAGTCTGGAGAGAACGCCACAGGCGATATTCAGTTCGCCGTTCCGTCTGCAAAACTTGGTCTGACTGCATCCACTACATCATTATCATCTCTTCCTCAACGTGCAGATAATGCTTTTGCTGCCAAGGCCGACTCTATTGGTCTCGGAGCGCCGCGTAATGCTCAGTCTCTTGAAGTCGCTCCAGTTGCAGCGCAAGCGCTGTACATATTTGCCACGCCGTTAGTGACTTTTCATCCAACTTTATTTTGCTAACGTTAACCATTTTCCTAAACAGGTATCAAATTGTTCAAGCGACTTAATCGCTTGTGCTAGCGTGATTTACTAGTTCCCAGTATTCTTATTAGGCAACTAGGACTGGCCTTGGCTAACATATAAAATGTGAGCTGGCTCGGGTTAGTTTTATTCCTCGCTCTCACTTTATCTTCATCCCTCAGGGACTGTTTCAGTCGTTCGCTAACCTATTCGAGTTCCTGCCGTTATGTTGCATGTCGAGGGCCAGCAGGACGAGGACGACACGTCGTACGTCGACGGCGAAGGCAGCACCCCGCACGCTGAGAATCAGCAGGACCGAGGCGACACTCAGCCGCAACAATCTCAAGCAGTAGCGGCACATGTGCAAGCTCTGCAGAGACGGAAAATCGCTCAATTGGAGGAGAAGCTGGAGGCCCTGGAGTCGGGCCGCGCAGTCAAGCAAAGGTGTGGCTGCTATCGCACGCAGTATTCAGTTGCATTGCTCACCATCTGTTAGGCAAACAATCTGGTATGTTGCTAAAGGAAGAGCAATCAGGCGTGTTGTCGCCCTGTTCGATAGTATCGAGGACCTCGTCGCCGAAAACGACAGAAGATATGAGATCGAAGACCAGGAGACTACCATCGAGTAAGTATTTCGCTCTTGGATCGGGTATATTACTCATTAACGTGGTTACGTAGACAGGATCGACTTCAAATAGGTTATACTACCCTAACCAAAACGCTGCCGTGGTTCTACAAGAAGGGTTCAGAGATGGAGTACGAGGAGTACATGCACATGTTAAAGATGGTTTGTTTAATGATATTAATGGTTATGTCACGGCTGAGTCTTTGTCTAGCTTCGACAGGGGGCTGATGGCGCTCGAGGAGATGACACTTCGAAACTGAAGACTCTCGTTTCGGAATGGATCAACCGTGAATTTAAGCCGGATTTTCCTGTTGACCAAGACGATAAGCATTCCCGTGGATTCACCCATGATGTGTGTGGCAGGTTGCTCTGTCCGGCAGAGCTTGACTGGAATAACCCAGAGTAAGTAGTGGCTTCGGTATCCCGAGCCTGAGAGACAACGCTCATAGTTCACCAGAGTAAGGGCAGGCATCCGAAATCGCTCAGATGGGTATATCGTCACAGATCTATCCTTTCCCACTTACTTGTATGATAAGTACACTTCCAATCCGGACGATCTTGAGGAGGGCCTTTTCAAGGGCAAGATTCTCATTCAGGTTTGTCGTACCGGAGCAGCCTGACAGCAAACTGACTGGTGTTTCAGGCCTACAAGGCTGTGTTCACGTCTCCTTCCTCAGCAAAAGACGTCGAAGGCGACGGCGACGGCGCGGATGTCATCAGCAACAACCGACGGGCTAAGAAGTCTTTATCTGGAATCAAGGTCAAAAAACATGTAGCACAAATCATTCATTTGGAGAAAGTCACTCCTCGCTCGATCGCATATATCACATGTCAAGTAAGTTGTATTGTTCAGTCTATTTTATGATATATCTTCACTATATACTCGCAGGTGCAATTCGCACTTTCTTCAGTTACCTCCTGGCGGTCCATGGATGGCGACTTCGACTACCAACAATTCTGGCGGACCATCGTTGACTTTTTCGAAAGGGCCCCTGGTCGAGAAGCGCAGTGCAGGGTACAGCAACTTCTCGAATGGTGGACTAGGTGCGTAATTTTCCCTCCAAACCAAGCCTTGCTAGAATTCCGTTTTCAGAAAAGTTTTTGGGAGGAATCGCCGAGGCGAACTTAGCGACGCAATGAAGGCCAATATGTCTGTCAACGCTCTTGTAAGGCAGAGAGCACAACGTGATGACGCCGCGTTTGATTCACCCTAGATATTACTGTGTTTCGTATTAGATCTGTTGTTTGCTAATCAATGCGATGGTTTAATGATGTTGATAAAATTAATGTTATGTGCAACTGAATAATTAGAGTGATCTCTGCCACGCGTAAATATCGCATGCATAGAGCGCAGGCTGCGCTGTCCCTATAACTTTTCAGTTTCGTGCAAACAGGCCGTCATGCATGGGAACAATCCCCAAGCCATCATTCAAGTCCTGGTGCGCGGATCTTTCAGGTTGAGTTTGATAAGATGCATCTAGATGAAAGAGCGCAGGCTGCGCGGTCTCTATATTTTTTAGCTTTGTGCCAACAGCCTGTAACAAACACATAACTGCGCCAAACGGTGACTTTGTTGTTCATCGGAGGAATTATGTTACCGGGGTCACGAATACGCACGTGCAAAAATCCTGCAGCACGGTGCAGAGATACCCAATTGCAGTGATACGTATGTAATATATAAGATGTCTATCAAATGGTAAGTGAGATATCAAGGCAAGCCATGACCCACCGTTATCAAGCCCTGAGCTAAGATGGTGAATCATGAAGTTGCAACATTGGTGCAGAGCTACAGATTCTTGGGATGCAGGACAAGTGGACTTAAAGCTGTCAGTCATTGGAAACTCATGGAAGGTCATGTGGAAAGTCGAAGGAGGACATAAATTGATTATCGCCCGCTCTGTGAACACACCTCGGCTGGTGCGCAAAGCAAACACTTCTTCCCACGGATTGCTAACCAATGTAAAGCAGACGGTTATTAGATAATCTAAGAAAAGACTAACCAAAATTCGATGTCTAAAGACGGTGGCTCAAAATTTCAAGGAGAATATGAGTTAATTGTTGCTTGCGTGATGAACATATTGTCACCCTCTGGAAGGCACTTTTTTTCAGTGTTACATGGACAGTTGTCCTATGATTTACGAACACCAAGCATTTCAAACAGATGGCGTCAAAATTCAAAGCGGGATACCTATTTATTGTCGCTCACTTGATGAATGCATTGTTGTTCTTCGGAAGGTGCTCGCTTTCCTGCTTAGCTTTCAAGTTACAGAAATCACTTCCAACATGACGGTTATGGTTCACCCGGCTTGACCGTTATATTTACAGAAAATTCATGCATTGTCGCTGATCGGTTAACACATGGTTGTTTTTGGGACGGTGCTCACTTTCATGTTTAGTTTCGCCATTGTGGTCCGTATTTCCAGCTCGCTCGCTCGATAAATACATTCCCGTCGTCTGGAAAATACCAGCTTTCATTCTTGCATGAAAAATTGACACACACCTGAGGGAAATCAACCGTTCCAATAAGGCATTCTTGCATGAAAAATTGACACACACCTGAGGGAAATCAACCGTTCCAATAAGGAGTTGATACTAGCTGAAGCAGGACGCAAATTTGGGCCCGCTCGCTCGATGAGCACATTCGCGTCGCCTAGAAGATACAGGCGCTCGTTCTTACATGGAAGATTGGCATACACTAGACGACAGTCAACCATTTCAAGAAGGTGGTGTTAATAGTGGAAGCACGACACAAATTCCTCCAAGTTTGAGTGTGAGTGACACCAGGACCTTTTCCCAATCATAATCCTTCGTAACACAATCAGGAAATGTCCTTTCCTCTACAAGGTCAAATATAACAATGTGATGCTCGATAGCAGAATTATGCTGGTTCTTGTGATTATGTACTATATATCGTCATATATACCTTTCTAAAACCTTCACCGGTTCACTGATGGTGGACACGCGGCCGTGGCAGCATTCAAATTGTCAATTACCTCGAGACTGAATTGAAAAAATTACTTGATACATCCTTACGAGCCTATCTGCGCTGAGAGGAATGTGCAAAACTAGCAGCCCTTCAAGTTGATAGAGGTGCGGAGGAATGGTGGAAGATTGTAGCAGAGTCACGAGTCTTCTCGAGAATATATACAAGGCACAAGCGGCGTAGCCGCCGTAGCGTGGAAGAAGCTTTGGTGTTACATAAAACGCAATTGATGTGAATTGTGGGTGTGCAGTGACTTTAGCAAACAACGTAATGAAAAAGTTCTAATATCTGATATTATAGGAAATACTCCAGGTACTACCTACTCTGTCTATACGGACTCTGTAATAACTTCGCATTACTAGCACTAGCAATGCCTACGCTGTCACCAAACCCAATTTGCCTCGTTCTAAGACAGCTTTAAAACCAAGGTGTTCCTCCGCGGCAAAATACTCCGTGGGGTTGTACATCGTATGAATAGGCTTTCGCGCGTTGATCTCACTCAAAACGATCTTAGCTTCTTCATCGGTATTTCCGAGCAAACGATCAATGTCGTCCTCTATCATGATCGGGGCGTCTGGGGAGGTTAGAGTAGGATCCAATCTATTGCATTTAGTGTGGGATAATTTGGTAGAGTAAACGAGGTCTTACCTAGATTTGACTGCAGAGTGCATCTCTGGATCAGTCGGTGCAAAGATATGACGACAGAAGTCCATAGTTTTCTATCAGGCGAATTGAGGATGACGTGGAGATTAATCACATAATATACGGAGTACCTGGAGTTCGTCTTCTGTCAAAGTCTTACCAACATCTGCTGTTCCTTGTATCACTGCACTCGGGTGATCAGCATTGGCAGTGATAGAAGAAAACATGGATTCTCACCCGGTCTGAGGATATCAAAGGCTTTGTCAAAATTGTCCTCATCCACATCGCTCATGACTGGCATGGCCTGACTGCGAATCTGTTTATAGGTCCCAAGGACGACGAGAAGGAACCTATATCATTCATCACATTAGTTTGTTATCACTCTAGTGACTGAGTTCACATGCCTCGTGTAAGAGCTGCCAACCTTTGAGGTGTGCCAACGTTGGGCATCCTCTTCGCTGGTTGATCCTCGAATCGACGCAGCAATTGTAAGAGCAGCCGAAAGTCCTCCTGTGAAAGCCAAATGGACTCCAGATGAGAAGAATGGGTCGATGAATGCTTGCAAACTGTCAATTGCGAGTATCATAAAAAAGCAAGTGATATACCTCCAGAATCCCCCGCCACGCGGAAATGATTCCCAGCATAGGAGGAAGCAGAGTAGCTGAAATCGCTCGCAGATTTCACAGCTTCCGATGTGCCATCGTTTCGAAGAGTGCCCTTTCCGATCAATTTCATGGCTCCAGGAGCTCTCCTTAATTCTTCCTTATAATGAGCCAGGAGATTTGAGCCAGATCCTCCCGATGCCGCACGGGAAGCCTTCTTCTTGCGGTTGCTTGACTCTTGATCAATCACGACTCCCACAGATGTGGATCCATCGTGAAGAGGGATGAACCAAACCCATCCAGACTCGTCTGTAGAAATTAGGCTTAGCATGACGACTTCGACTTGCTTTCATACCTTCAAGTGCTTCAATCCAGACAGCATTGTCGCGAGTAGTACCCGGCATGTAAGAGTTAGTTCCATCCCAGTATCCCCAGCATGCAACGTTGTTGAGGGCTTGATTATAGCGTCTGTTCTTGAGGTACTTTGTGGACATGATCCCATTCCTTCCCGACGCATCGACTAGATAGTCGAAAGAGATACGGCCCTCTATTCCGGTGCTTGTATTCCTCCAGTTGGCTGAAACAGGTCTGTCACCGTCGAACTGAAGTTCAGTGACCCTTGTGTTGTCGAATACGATCGCGCCACATTTTGAAGCATGGCGCAATAACAAATCGTCAAATTCTGATCGAATCTGCAAAATGGTCAAAATGGTGAGGCAGTAAGCATATCTTCAAAATAGTACGGACCACGTTCCAACACCCATTGGCTGGGTTCATTGCTATAAAATCCGTATCTGGAGCAAATGATCAATATTGTTGCAACAACGTGTAATGGCGAGTGGGGCTCACAGCCTTCCCGCTTGTACTGGTTCAGCTTGACTGCAGCACCAGGCTATGAAACGAGAGGGTCACCGTCTAATATACTCTGACGCAGTGAAGACTATTCCATACCTTAACTGTAAACCCGTGGTTCATGACCAATTCCTCCGCATCAATAAATGCCAAGAAACGGCGGACCGACGGGAGCAAGCTCTCGCCAATGTGATAACTAGCACAATCATATATTGGCGACTGCGTATACGGACGGCATATATCATATGGACTGACCGAGGGAACTTCGCAGCTTCGAGAAGAGTGACTTCAAAACCTTCTCGAGCCAAAGCCGCAGCAGCGTAACTTCCGGCGGGTCCGCCACCAACAACAAGTATTTGAGTCGAGGTTGGCTAGCTTGTTTTTCAGCCTTCACAGTAAAAGGACAGATATCAGCCACTCACAACTGGTTGAATGGTCATTTCTGCGAAGGAGGTCGTATGAAAGAGATAGGTTGTAGGCTTAGGTTTCGAACAATGAAAACTGGTAAAACTGAGCTTCAGAGGGGAAGATTAACTGAGTAGTTAGGAATATCTGCTGGGATAAAATACTGAATTTTCGATGGCGGAGGCGAGTTCGCATTACCAATAAGCCTGACCTAACCTTGCATCAAAAACAATCGGGACAAATGGGCGAAGGGGCGACGAAACGGATCATGAGGCACCAACATTCTATCCGCAGCATTACCATCGGAACATGAGATTGACCCTATCCAAGACCTCAGCGGGAGGCTGGGTAAATAATCTGCAGCTACCGAGGGACTGGAGGCGACTTGGTCTACAAGTTTCAGCTAGTGAACCCAGCAACTCCTTATCGCAGCGCTAGAGCACCAAAAGAGAATTGGAACACCGCCCGAGAGGAGATGAATGCGCCATGTCCTTGCTCCGGGAAGTTGGGTCCGGCTCATCGAATTGAAACATTTCTCGAAGCTTCAGAATCTTTTTGCTGCTCTGTCAAAATTGTTGTGACAGCTGCGAGAATCCAAGGCTGTTAGGGACGGGCCACGGGCGGGAATTTAAACGCTGTTATCAAGACCTTCATAGGGGGCTTACGTCGAACCTACAGCCGCATGCCTTGTTTTGATTCTGACATCCTGCAGCCGAGGCGAACGATATTTTTCAGTGAATATATCCGACGTCCCGTCACAACTTACAAACTCATACACAGCTCCGATGTCAGCATTCCCTCATGATCCCCCGTGGTTCCACTATCACCAGGCACAAGAGCAGCTGTGTTGAAGGAGCTACTAGTAGGTAAAGCACCGCGGATTTCAAGAATGGCCCATCGTTACCATAACTAGCGTTTCAGGCATAGCGTGATCCTGTTGACGGAGACTACCCGTGGAAAGAGTCAGAATACCAACCCTGTTATTCGGAACAAATTCTTCAGTGTTCTAATTTTCCTTGGTAGTAGTGAAGTACCTTTGAGCTATCGCCGTTCAACGTACGCGCCGGTATACAGCAATTTAATAACCCCAGCCGCACAATTATGAACGAATTTGGAGAACTTGGGGAAGTCTACGCTGTCTGTTGTACAAAAGATGAATTAGCCTCTTCGCCGTCAATGTTTCAACTAGTATTAGTCAGCTGCAGAAACCTAGAAATCTTGAAATTTTTCACACACCTTCAATACCATCAAGTACCCAAGTAGTATCAGTCACTTGTGAATATGTCGGAAACATGAGTCTTGGATTTGCTGTCATATATGCAGCAGATTCTTTGCGCTAAGATCTGTTTGCAAGTAGTTGCGGTAACGGTGTTAGTGGTAAAATTGTAGTACGGCGGAGTTTCAATTCTCCGTTGCTCTCGCCGTCCTAGACTTGTTGAATCAAGCTTTCAAGCTTCCAAGCTTCAACGTTGCAGCTTCAGTTCACTCGCCCTTGATCAAGCCGACATCAAGTACTAATACTTACAGTCTACCTGTTCACCAGGCTAGTATGCGGTCATGGACGTTAGGACAGCATCTCATCATCCTTACGTTACCACCATGAACTAATCTGTGTCCTGAGTCGTAGGATAGATTAATCCCAAGCCCATCTTTATCTACATGTTTCGAACCCCAACATAGTCTGGGCCATCCTGATTCATCAGCCAGCATCGTAACCGCCCTTGCTCGCGCTCGAGGTTGATGCGTTTAGAGCTGCATGAGAAGGCTGTTTATTCAGCGCGTACGTTACTCTCGTACCTTTCTCCGGATATCCCGACGTTACTCGGAAAGCATCAGTCCGGAATCTCCGGATTGTGCCAGATCCACCCCGATCGGCTCACGAACGAAGACATCGTGACATACCTTTTCATTTAAGAATTTTCGGCGGCTAATTTTTTTTGACGGCGTTCTTCCAGACTCACATCTTAACATTTTGCAGGCCCAGCTGGGCTGTCCTCCGGTGGCACGAAAATAAATGGCGTACTAGGAGAACAGCCATCAATTACCAGAACTGGGAGCGATACAATGCTGCAGGTGAATGGGTGTGATATGTTGAAGCAGAAAGACGTCAACTAACGAACTGGTTTGCTATACAATCATAGCATCACTCAACGCACTAGCTCCCGACTCTCCCCGACCCGCTCAGCGCGGTGCAAGAGCGCATGTTGTAGCGAACTCAAAGCGCCAAAATAATTCTACCGTGCATGTCAATTATCTCCGAGTCTAGAATATACTCCAAATTTTAGAACTTCAGCTTTAGTATTTTGATGCATCCTGTGCACTCTCAATACGCCAGACTATTCCATAGTATATCTGTTGATCCGGGGAATCGGTGAGTTCACATTCACATCGCAGGGAACCATATTCTTAATGCATATATCATATCCAGCGTTCCGTGCGCTGACTAAGTTGAAACTTGAAACACGTACTACCGTGACGGTGTGTGAATCATGTTCTCCGCGGAACTGTATCTTTGCTACTCAAGGCCTTACTCGTCGTTCTCACAGTCAGATCACAGTCCGGGTCTGCCTCAGGAAAGTGCAGGGAAGTGATAGCTCAGATATTCTGATGGAGTGAGTCTTGTATAATAGGCTATATGTATATCAACTTACTCGGCCAAACATGATTACGCTCGACTTCCGAGTCAGCTTCGGGAAACCGGATGGACTGCGCAATATTAATTTCCGTTCGCGCAAGACTGTCTGTCTCTTTGGAGCAACACAGGAGAGTGGTCATGAAGTCCGCTGTCTCCTTGTGGAAGTTCTCGTCCTTCTGCTTGTTATCCCCGTTGATAATCGCGCGTCCGTCTGCCAATCATAATATTCCATTGTCATCTGCCGATGTGCGACTGTGGGTGTGTTTCTAGGTGATTGTCTTGGTCATAATGATGTCGGCGCCTTCTTCAAGTGTTCTTGCTGGCTTGTGAATTCTTGATAGATGTGTCAGATCCCAAGTGCGGTGATTCACACATACTTAAATGACCACCGTAAGTGCGGTGTGATCACGTACCTACGGCTCCGTACAACGGCGTCACCTGTCTCAGTCGACAGATAGCGGTCGAAACCAAACCTCAAAATGCTTTCTACAGAACCTCGGGCTACCCAAGACTCGGACAATGAAGAATCAAAGGTCCCTGATGTTGAATCATCAGTCTCCAAGGACTCCGTCCTTCCTTCACAGTTAGATGATTTTCCTGAAGGCGGTTTTGCAGCTTGGTCCACTGCCTTTGGGTCGTAAGAAGACTCGATTTTACAAAAGACGACAAGCTGACTCTTACTTGATTTGTTTAGGTTTCTTATATTGTTCTGCGGTTGGGGGTGAGTATTTCACTCTACTATTGGTGAAGAATGGCTCTCTGAAGGGTCAAAGTTACACCACCTCCTTTGGTGTATACCAAGGTATTGCCGCATATGAAAGTGAGGATGTGACTTTATTTACACGACTTGCCTTCCAGACTTCTATACTCAGCATTACCTCACAAATAAGACACAATTTGCTATTTCGTGAGTTGTCCTGGCAAGCTCCTCTATTGTTGGTATTATCAAGTTCTTTCGCAGATCCATTGGGAGCTTCAATGCATTTTTAGGCACCGCTGTGAGCCTTGTAGCAGGTTCACTGTATGACCGAGGTTATTTGTGGGTATATATATAAGTGTGTCGGAGACGATACTCAACAGGCTAAACTAGTTATCATCTTGTCATCGCCGGATCACTTTTGCAGAGCTTATCTATCTTCATGCTATCATGTGCGAAGCCTAATCAATACTACCAGGTAACATCCTTCGGCTTTCTGACGTTTTCGTTTTCTGACACTGCATAGATATTCCTTACTCAAGGCTTATGCTCTGGTGTCGCGTTGGGGCTCCTATACGTCCCGAGCCTGGCTGTCGTCTCTCATTATTTCAAACGGAAACGCACGCTGGTGATGACGCTCGTTATTCCGGGTTCATCGCTGGGTGCTATCATCCATCCGATTATGCTTAATAACCTCCTGAATGGGCAGCTCGGTTTTGCCAAGAGCGTACGTGCAAGTGCAGGGATGGTCAGCGCGCTCCTTTTAATTGCATGCCTGTGTATGCGAACCCGCCTTGATCCACCGACGACGCCAGTGAATTATATTGCAGCAGCTAAAAAATGTCTTCATAATGTTCCGTTTATTTTCGCTCTGGCAGGGTAAGTCACAGTCTCTCTCGAATTTGTCCAACTGACTAATTTGTATGCAGGTCCTTTCTTGTCCAGATTGGCTTCTACTACCCTTTATTCTTTCTTCAACTCGACTCTATCAAGCACGGTATCGGCATCGACTTTTCGTTTTATTCTGTGGGATCTAGCATTATACAAGAAGTGGTTCTCCTGCTGATACGTTCACTAGCTCGTGATTTTAAATGTGGCCAGCTGTGTGGGACGAGTTACATCAGGGTACATTGCAGCGTACATAGGAGTCCCAAACTTGACCATAATTTCGGCAATTATGTGCGGATCGGTGATTTTGGGCACTATTGGATTAAGTAGCCTGACCAGCGTCGTTATTCTTGGTGTACTTTATGGCTATTCTTCGGGTGTGTGTGAGTAGTTTTCCGTTTCACTATATAGTTGAAGGTGTGTTGATCGATCATACAGATAACGCAATGGTGGGTCCACTCGTGGCTGTCTTAACGCCCGACCCCTCTGAGCTTGGGTAAGTGATAAATTAAGTTTGGTCTGCGCAAACCATCTGATTTGGCCACAGCGGGTGGATGGGCATTTGTTTCTTCGTTGGTGGTGAGTAGGATCAGATTCACTCATAGATTCTATTGAATTCAATTTGCATACGTTCGCTACAGGATTTGGAAGTTTGATTGGTAGGTGCACTCGTGATATTTCTTGTTTCAACCTCTGACTGTTTACCTAGGAACCCCCATATCCGGTGTTTTGCTTACATCAAATTATACTTGGTGGAAACCCGCTCTGTTCTCTGGGGTGAGTTGACTGTGGTTCCTGTTTTCTCGTTCCATTGACTCGGATTATTCGGATCACAGCTCGCTGCACTGGCTGGTGCCCTGATGTACGGCTTCATGGGTTTCATTTGCATCAGAAGAAATAAGTTCTAAGTGAACGGCTTGTCGTCGAACGCGGACCAATAGAGATACACGAGAATCATCAAAGCACGATAACACAGGGCCTGTTTAGGCTGGTCTTGATAGAAGTTGGGGCATGGGCACGAAGCCAAAACGTTAAGTACGTTGATATAGGATAGAAGTGGTTGCCGCTGCGCGCACGGCTTGTTGTGTCACCAGTATTTGATTCTACAGGGATTCCCCTTCGTCCACCTGGGAGAATTTGATGAAACAACGGAAGTCATTGATATCTCCGACATGACATCGATTCTACACAATGATTCGATGATCCAGGAAAATCGGATCATATAGGCTACGTGCCACTGTAAGCACCCTTACGGAATGTCCCGGCAACATGTGGGTCGAAGCAATTCTTCCGGTAGAACCTGCGATGGCAGAACTAGGGTTGTGTTGTAGCAAAACCAAGCGAAACTCAGAAGAGGTAAATTTTATTCGTCAACTATGATATTTAATAATGCGACATCCCAACCAACCCCATCGCCTCTCGCACAATAGAGCTCGTCAATAGATGATGTTGACCGTACTTTATATCCTAGTAACTTCCGTGGCTGCTTACCACCCCGCAAGTTAGGTCGTCATCGATAGACTGTCGGTACTAGTTACTTTCTTCGAGCTCTGACTAGTATCAAAACCGTAAAAATACTCATATAATATGACTTAGAGCATAATGAAGAACAACTATATCCACAAAAAAGTCCTCAAAAAACATTCATTGCAAGGCATCCGCAACCATCGCGAGTAGCTCCTTTGTGCTCTTCCCAACGTTTTTGTCATCCTTCGCTATGATCTGCCACACAGGCCCGTGATGCGGTTCAGCGGCAACACACTGCCTAATTACCTCCTCCATATATTCCTGTAGAATTCAATTAGTAAGCATCTCAGGTGCATGACAATCGACGCACGGGAGTGCCATGCTGGCGCTCGAACTTAAGCCACCATCCCCAATGGTCTCCGATATCCTTATCCTGTTCTGTAGCCACACTCCTCGAGAACCACTGTCTCGCCTTCTCAATCTTCCTTTCCGTCCAGAACAAACGCGCAACTGTACATGTGATCAGTGGATTATCTTTGCTTTTCTTCAGTGCATCAACAGAGCGGCTTTTTCTGGTCGGCCGTGGTTCAGCCCATATAGACATCGACCATAGGAGACCAGACGATGGGCATTCCTGTAGGCCACGGGCGAGCATCGCTTTTGCTTGTGCAGCTCCACCGGATCGCTCTTCCACACCAACAGACTCTGCCCACAAGATTTCGTTTGCCGGATTGACGAGCCGTCCCTTCTCTAGCAATGCGCGAGCTTTGATGCTCTTTCCATCAAGCTCCTCCAGCTTGCTCGCAAGCACCCATAACGTAATCTCCTTCGGGCAAGCCTTGAGGCCTGCAGCGTATGAGGCACGCGCAGTGGAGTACTGCTTTTCCATCTGGCGGATCTGCCCTTGGACCATGTACAGTTTGGCAAACTTAGGGAATTTAGATAGGGCGGTGGAGACAGTTTCAAGTGCTGCAGCGTACTGCCCTTGCTGACGCTCGAATACAGCAGATTTCATCCAGATCTGAAAGGTTACAGTCAGATCGGTCGTGAATTGGGTATTGGGATGAGATACTCACCCGCTCAGTATCTGCAACTGTCCGTGCACGCACGAGTAGCTCCCTTGCGACACCCAGTTCACCATTTTCGGCCTCGAGCTTAACTGCGGCAAGCCAAATTTGTTCGCTTTCGGGGTTAGCGATAAAAGCTTTTTCGAGGACCTCACGTGCCGCTGGCACATCTCCAGCCAGCCACTTTTCTTTGGCTGACATAAGCCAGAGAACTTCTGCCTGCGGGCAATAGTGCACTGCCTGAGAGAGAACTCCATCGAGCGATTCCCTAGAAAAAGTTTAGTACAAGATATATATTCCGCAAAAAATATCATACTTAGTGCCGTGCGCCTTCTCCAAATCTGCAGCCTTTCTCCAGAGGTTCCGCTGATCCGGAAAGACTTTGAGCGCATACGCAAGCACGGCCCTCGCAGTCCCGACCATGCCCCTCGCCTCCGCACTCTCTGCATCGCTAACCCATGTATCCAACCTGTCCTCTTCCTCGACCTCCATACTCACTGTAGCCTTGATGATTGCCTCGCACGTACGCGGGCTGCCGTCGCTCTCACATCGCTCCGCCTCCTTCAGCCACTGCTCGCGCGTGAGTAACACTTGGTGCTGCCGGAGCTGCCGGACACCAAGCTCGATTGTCTTGTCCACCAGCTCGAGCTCCTTGTTTCTGGTTTCCGTGGTCTTGTCGGGGTCGTCGCCCGTGGCCCCTTGCTCGAGCAGGCGTCCAGCAGCAATCCAAATCTCGTGCGACGTAGGGACAGACTTGCGGGCCTTGTTGAGAACAGCTTTGGCGCGCTCAGGGGTTTCGAGACGGGCAAGAGCGAGCCAGAGCTCGACGGAAAGTGGTATCACCTCCACGGCGCGGGAGAGGAGTATGCGGGCGTCCGTAGCTGATTCTTCGAGATTGACAGTTTCCTTCCATAACCGAACAGAGTTGGGAATATTCTCGAGTGCTGCATGTCATGTAAGTAAATCGCGGTGGACTGGATGGAAAATTGTATACCTTTACGCAAGACACGTTTCTTCGATTTAGCATCTTGTTCAAGGTCGGCTGCTGCAAGCCAGATCTTGACGCTCTGACCGACATGTTGAACAGCATTGGCAAGAATGACTTTTGCATCGTCATTATTCTGAAAGGGATATCAGCAACAACACAGAGCGTACCAGGGTTCACGTACATGTAACCGTGCTGCCTCAAGCCATACGTCATCACTCTTTGGACACTGTTCACAACCTGCTTTTATGAGTTTCCTTGCAGCAACCATACGTCCAGCATGCTCCTCCAGACATGCAGCTGCAATCCAACCAGGAGCATGTTTAGGATTTGATTTGACGAGCGAGTCAAACAGCATGCGGGCACGCTTGATGTCGCCGATTTCAGCTTCAGTCTTGAGAACAACGCTATTGAGTGAGGTGAGGTATCCCTTGGGATCAACAGAGGTAGCAGAACCAGATGTAGTGGCTGTCCCAGAAATCTACGATACAATGAGTATGATGCAATAAGTACTATGATAAATAGAGAAGACGTACTTGATCGAGTTTCAAGGACAAGATCTTATCACGAGCTTGGCCGATTTCGACGAAATTGGTCATGGTGCCGGTGTCTGCAGGAGTCTCAAAGCCACTGGCTTGCTGTTGTCGAGTGTCCAAGGAATTCTCATATTCAGACTTGGATCGGTCACCGACAATGATGCTGTCAGGAACGGCGAAAGTCCTTTCGTCTTTTCGCCGCTTCTTCCTTGTAAGATTACCAACTTCTGGTATGCTTTCCCACTCCTGGTCGGTAACGACGGACAAACCACGCTTCAGGTCAGCGAATTGTTGCTGAATCTTGGGGCGTTCAGCTCGATGTTTTGCGAGCTCGGCGTTCTCTCTCGCCTCCCTGGATAGAAAAACAAAGTGAAGCAGCTGAACACAATAAAATGATATAACTAACCAGAAAGCACACACCTGCGTGCCCGACGCCGTGAGTCCATCTTCTGATCAACATCATCATATATTTTGTCAGCTTCCTCATCGTCCTGTTCATAAGTTGTGCCAGCAAATAGGCCATATTCATTGTCGGGATCTTGGAATTGTTCTGGATCAATTTCGGGCTCCTCACCACGCCTAGCTTGGGCCTCGCTGTATAAAGGATGAGTGAAATCTTCCAAGGAAAAATATTCGAACGCACGCAATAACTTCCGCAGATGGACCCTCTCTGGCAGGTCCAATGTCTGAACGAGTTGTGAATCCAGAAGCGCTGTCGTTGTGTTAGGTCGGGGCATGCATTGATATACGAGAGACACTAACCCTCGACCGAGACCAGCGACATATGATGCCGGAGCCGGCATCGACAAGAACGCAAGTTTGTTTTTATTTGATGCCATAGTGGTCGATCACAACAGAGCGTCGAAGAGAAGGCTGAAGGGGCACGTTTGGGGCACGTCGTCCGAGTCGTCGTCGTTAAAGCAGGAAATGCGTGATGACTAAGCAACCTACTGAATAAAGATTTGTTCTCCTAATACATGTTTATCACGTGAGCCATTATGCATATTATGCGTTGCATCATATCTACCTACTCCGTCCATGTTCCAGGTCGGCATCAGAAGGCAAGTTCACGCACAAACGGCGGTTCATAAATATTTGAAGTCCTTGAAGAATCGACTTGGCGAAGTTTCAGCGTGCAAACGACAAAAAGGACTCCTAGCTGGTACACTTCCTGACGTTACATTTAAAACGATCCGTTCCAATATGTACAACAAGCCACGATAAAAAGTACTTAAAGCATAGTTTGGATCAGTTAATTAGTACATGAATGTCGAGATAAGAAATAGAGATAAAGTTGTTGGGTACGAGAAACGATACTCGACGCTTGCTTCAACAACCATGGTCGTCGATGAACCATTGCCCGTAGACACCCCAAATCTAACGGTATGTCAGCTGACTGAGAAATAAAGGAAGCCAAAATACACATACAGTATTCACGCACGAGTCTGCGCCAGTGAATTCCCGGTCTAGGAAACGGGTAGGGGTTGTCGCACAAAACTCCTTATAGTCTGCTAGGAACGGCAAGTTCTCGAGACGTTGCTCAATGTGCTGCAAGAATGATCAAATTAAGTCCCAGAAAATAGTGTATCCACTCTTACTCTCTTCTTCGAGCCTCTAGCGGAACAGCCCTACAGGGTCGAATGGTCAGTACGAGTAAAAAATAGTATCTTCAGCTTACCATGTCCTTATATCCACTCCAGTAGGTGACGCAGTCGGGTTCGTCATGACTGATGGCAAAATGACCAATCACCGTGCCTGAACGCTATACAAAGTCAGGCTTTATTATCAGGACTAGTGAAAAAGGTCGACCAACATCTTCGCATCTGGAAGGCCAGTGAGGCCGGCCATGAACAAACATCGGAGTAGCTATGCAGATTTCCATCCTATGACGGCTCCAACGAGACGCGTTGAGCTCTGCTACGTACTCCTTTGTTGCATAAGTGGTGCAGGAATGAGATTCGATATTGGTCCAAGCAAACTCATTGAGGGGAGCAAATGAGAAGAAAGCGATGGCAAACACCCCAAAAATGATCACGGCTCCGAGAATTGTAAAGAAGCAACATCCTGGGTCATTGTTCCGTCTTCCTGTTGGAAGGAGGGGGTCGACTTCATCGTACCTAAAGATAAGTATCAATAGCTGCATCCTTATTTCGTGCGCTGCACATCATGCCTTGAATGAATTCTAGCAGTCACCTCTATCAAGTACTGAAAGGATTGGGTACAGAATGAAAGCTTACACGGTCCTAGAATCGGGGATCATTGGTACTACAATGTGCATCTGGGACTGGCAATTTACATGCTGCCTGTGACAATCATGATCATGTGTGTGCCCTTGTGGAGTGCAGCGAGCATGGTCGTGATGGGATGCTTGTGGCATTGAAGCATGATGCTGGTACGCCGGAGGAGGGTGACTGAAATCACTAAAGTTTAAAACGTAAACGCAAGGAGCTCAACTATCACAGCAGCCTTGTAATCTCACCTGGTATGATGTGACATCGTATCTCTGAGATAGCCAAGGTATGTAAGAGACGCTGGTGGGCTGCCGCATTGCTGCGATGCGGTAAGAAGGAAATCCAAAAAGGCAATTACATAAGGCAAGATCCGGATTCCAAGGCAGTGCGGCAACACACCCGATGTGCTCTGTTTCTAAGCCTCGCAGGATTTCTAGTGCATTTACAGTAGGCATTGAGATTGTTGTGGAAAGTTCCACTCAACCACTTTGTTTAGTCCCCCGATCCAGCTGAGCAGTAAATTGCACACCACCGCGTACAGCGCGAACCATAAATATCCAAGGCCTACTGAAAAGCTATGGTCTAATATAAATTAAGTGGAAGCAGATTGTATCAAAGATGAGTAGCGGGACCCTCTGAGAATGCATATAAGAGCTATTTGTGTGTAGACATAAAATCTAAGTCGTGAGTGATTGGTTGTCTAAATGAATTACTAGTAATGAGTCGTGACTAGACAGGAAAAAGAAACAGGCTTCAAGGTGAACTGATCTACCGATGACGTATGTCACGAGCTCACAGTAATCCCGGTACAAACCAGAACTTCACTTCCGCAGCATATGCATCCCACTCTGATGCAGATAGTTTACGGAGCTCACCATCCTCTGCGTATGCACGGCTCACACCTACGGACAACGCCCAAGCCCACCACGTAGCCCCTAACAATGCGGAGCTGACAGGTCCGAGGATGCCGCATTCATTTACCCAGCTCCCGGGAGTTAAATGCGAGAAGGCAATTCCCGCAACGAGCAACAAGGAGCCCGTGTAGGCTGGGTGCCGGACATATTTGTAAAATCCAGATGTCACGAGCTTGTGCTCAGGGTACATGGTGAGATCGAAGGTGAACAAGTGACCGAGCTCATGGAAACAGCGCACGCGGATAAACATCCCGAGAGCAGCCATCATGACCCCGAGCAAGAACACGGGAGTGACTAAATGTTGTGTGCGACGTGCAGGACAGAATACCGAGTCAACGTGGCTTGATAGCTGCGTTGAGAACAACGATCCACAAAAATAGTGGAATGTCGACATCACTTCATATGCAGCGCTCAGCCATAGAATTATGGTGTGGGCCTGAATAAAACACGATTTTTTAATCAGATACAAAAGCTACAATATCACCAGCTTACCTTGAAGATCAATGGAGCTATTTGCAAGACGGATGCCTCTTCAGTGTGATAGCGCCATTTTGTTGGCGTTTTATTGGGTGGAGTAAATGCAATCTGGTTGCAGAATGCTTGCACCAGGACAAGGGAAGAGCGCAGAAAAAGAGACATTGCGAGCTATGCTGCGTAACGAGTGAACGTATATCAAATGCCTTTTATATTGGAGAAACGAATACCCAGTACGGCTCAACAGGGACGAACCATACGTTCACGAGGGGTTAGCCGGCAAAGTGTATCAACCAAAGTCCAGGGGTTCGTGTCGAGAGCCATCAAGCCGAAGATGTACGAATTTCCAGTGCTGCGGCGTGTTGCGCTATAAACCTTATCTAGATCGTATACATTATGGAGAAGCTCAAAGGACCTGCGAACACTCCATTGAAATTGATTATGCTGAAGAAAAGTTTCTGCCTGACATTTGTGTCCGCGGAAGGTGGGCAGTTGAAACGTGTGTGCCATATCTTGTTTAGGGTGACAGCGCACAATGAGATCACCCTCGGGGGTATGGTACGACCAGTGGCAAACCCAAAGTACCAACTAGCAATGATATGATTTATGGACCGTAGGCTCCAACAGCCTGGAGCAGGCCCGGGAGCCGGGTGAAAACCTGTACTAAATCTTGTTTCATTCGCATGCCAAAGGGATTTGATTAAACGTACCGATGAGTCCATTAAATTTAACGAAAGCCCACTTAACAATTGGTATTGTTCCTCCGTCGACTCGGAACGTGGTCACAAGCCGTTCATGAACTGCTAAAATCGTGATTATGTAATTAATAACAATCTGAGTCTGAAGTCGACTTCGGAACTGATCCGATCTGTTCCAGCACTGACTCCGACCAGGACCGATACCACAAGATTATCGATTATCTTGAGCACGAGTCCTTGCGCACGAGCTACGAGAGATCATATACATATATCATATTGATATCTACAATGGCAAACTCGAACTGGTATCCCTCCTCATGGAAATCGAGGTCAGCTGCTCAGGTGGGAATGCCATCGTTCAGGTTCAGGCTCAATCGATGATGAACCATGAAACGTTTGATTTACATATCAGATGGTAGATTATCCTGACCAACAACATCTCCAAAGGTCTGTTGTACATGTGCAATTCGATACGCATCCGTAATTTACTCCTTCAATTAATCAGAGTCTTGACAAAAATCAATGCTTTACCCCCTCTCGTAACGCCCGCAGAAGTCGGTGTTTAGTATTTTTATCTGCTGCTGTTCATTACCGTGATTGTATTATAGATTGAGCGCCTTCGCTTTCAGATAACTGCTGTGCAGCGGAACGAGGCCTTCTTGCTCCATGCGGGAGATTGCGCAGAAAGTTTTGACGCGTGTACTCAAGTGAGCTATTCCATTCTTAATGCAGCCTTCTAAAGCGTTTGGAAGCAAAACATATCAGCAAAGATCGGTTTGATACTTTCGTTTTCTCTCATACTTATTTGGGGTGGACGTCTCCCAGTGGTGCGTTGATGATGCATGCCATAACGCATGATTAGTTTGCCAGTGCGCATATTCTCACAACGGGCTGTCATGATTTAGGTACGCATCGGACGCATTGCTGGGCAATATGCCAAGCCCAGGAGCAGCGGGACAGAAACGATTGACAATAGAGAGGTTTTGAGTTTCCGGTGCGCAATGGCTAATTCAGACATCGAGTCAGACATCATCTAACTCCAACTTGAATTCACATTGCAGTGGTGATAACGTCAATGGGTAGCGACAACAGAAGAATCCATTTTGATTGACAACTAAACTTTTATCAGGCTTGATCCTAATGATCGAACCCCAGATCCTGAGAGGCTCCTTAGGTTTGTGCTTCACTACCCCATCGTAATCGACATGAACAGCCTTCCTCATATCAGTGCCTACTTTCATTCCACCGCTACCCTCAATTACGTTCGTGGGCTTCTCACATCCGGATTTGCTTCATTGCATCACCCGCGGGACTGGTCACTCTCACACGTCCGTTCACCGGCGTTACGGTCAGTATATCCTCTCACATGCTCTTACATCCCTGATTTCGGGCATTGTATCTACCGCAGGAGCGAGTTTGAAAAAATAACTCGAGGTCTTTCTGATGCGCTCGACTTCAGCCACACGATAGGCGCTGACTCAGGTAGGGAAAGTGCGCCCTTTGACCGGGGTGGTGGTCGAGGTGTTCTGGGCGAGATTGATTTCTACACGAGGTCAGCTCCCTAATGACATGACATAGTGTGGCGGATCAAATTAATGGTATTGGAAACTGCAGCCACGAAGGGTTAATGCTGGACTGGGAGCAAGCAATGACACGGGAAGTTAATATCGCTGGGTCAGGGTCATCTCCGCAGGAAAAGGGCTTCTACAATACTTCTGCCCACTTTATATGGGTTGGCGACCGTACAAGACAACTTGATGGCGCCCATATCGAATATTTCCGAGGTATCCGCAATCCCATCGGCATCAAGGTCGGACCTTCATTAGAAAGTGCAGAGCTAATCAGGCTCCTACAAAGTATGTATAATTCTGGGATTACGTCTCACAGAACGTACTCATAGCATGCCTCTTTATAGCCGTGAATCCAAACAAAGAGAGTGGTCGCGTGACACTCATCACTAGGTACGGAGCAGGAAAAGTGCGTTCATTCTCGACTATCTTCGACAATCTTTGACCAAGCTATCAAGATCTGGGATCACCTCCCTGGCCACATTGAAGCCGTTAAGCACTCTCAACACCCGGTCGCTTGGGTATGTGATCCCATGCACGGAAAGTATGTTTACATCCTCGATGACGTAGAACGTGAGCGCTAAGCCATTCCAAGCACACTTACTTCCAGCAGCGGCTTCAAAACACGTAACTTTGGGACTATCATCAGCGAGCTGACTTCCTGCATCAGTATCCACACTGCATGTGGGTCTCGGCTTGGCGGAGTCAGTCTTGAGTTCACAGGCGAGCTTAATGACGAAGGCTTCAGCGTGACAGAGTGTCTTGGAGGAAGCATGGAGCTCAGCGAGGAACAGCTGGGGCTCAGATATCAGGTATGCCAGACTACGTTCGTATTCGATTGCTATTCTAACCCTCAACCTCAACGAAGTCGTTCTGTGACCCCCGACTCAATTTCGAGCAATCGCTTGGTATGGCGAGCTAAATTTAAGTCAAGAATTACTTTCAGTTGACACATTTGACAGACGTTGCCTTTCTTATATCGAACTACTTCAAGGAGGAAAGACTCGGTGATGAAGGAGAAAACAGTATCTATGCCGCCCTTGGAGGAAGAAGAACAATTTGATAGAAATACGATGAAAGATGTAAAGTCTATCTCGCAAGATGCTGTACAGCTGTATATATCCGTGATACAGCAACAACAATACAGTGGGTGAAAATGATGGCTGTAGAAGGGTACTATGAGAGATCGAAGCCAGCGCCAGAGGAGATTGCCTGTAGGAGCTTGTCACGAAGCTTTTGTTCGCTTGTATACCTGGGCAGCTGATTGTAACAAATCAGTCACGCTATATATGTTAGCACAAAGTCATTCTACCTTTAGGAGGTTCACGCAGGTGCTCGAAGTTGGTAATCGGTGCTCGTCACTCCCCGCATCACGTATGGCAAAGAGAGGGTTTAGCTGCTTAAAACCTCTGGAGAATAATGAGCGCCTGCAACGGCAAGTAACAAGGAGGAATGGCAGAGGCTATGAACTCACAGAAGTGGCGGTCGACTGCAGCTTGTGACAAATCTCAAGAACAACCGTCGTTGTTCCTGATCGAAATCCTCCAAAACCTACGGATGAAAGTTACGATCGATAATACAATTTGCAGTCTATGAAAATACTGACCTTCCAGAAAGTCTGTATAGTGGGTTCGTCATTATCATATAAACCCCCATATTGGGTATGTGTTCTCAAGTCCTGCACATCCACAGGTGCGTTCACGCCACCTAGCAATATCTGAAGTTCCTGCTGATTGAACATTCTAGAAAGAGCTATATCAACAATCCAGGCAGAGTTAATTTGATCCCAACACACCGAAGCCATTTAGGGTCTATCATATCAGAAAGACCCTCAAAGAATGCCTCGCTCTGGAGCTTGATCTGCTTGCTCAATCTGTAGTGAGAAGTAAGGTAGATATATTGCAGTCGGTTCTCCCGGGTGACCGGGACATTGCTGCCATCTGGTATGAGGTCCACGGCTTTGGCGACCCCAAACTCTGATAACATCCCGCGTCAGAAAGATATAATCCGGGCGCATATTTTAGTAATGACCAACCTTCGATCGCAACAGTGAAGTTCAATGCGAGATCTTCCACATCTCCAGTGTAGTTCTTGAGGAATATGAGACCCTGGTATAAATCAGGATCGAGAGAAGCAAGGTCGTCCAGAAAACTTTGTTTGTCTAGCCACTTTATCGTTGATCAATGACGTGATAGCTTGTTATCAATGATACGGCAATTACCTTGGCTAGGAAAAACCCTGCGAATGCGACCTCGACGAGGATGCCCTTATAGAGTGCCTTGCCTAGAATTCGTCCGATGAAGCGATACCAGTTCAGATTGTGCGCTGCATCGGATATGAACGTGAGTGTGAGTATCAAAGAATAGATCTGCGAACAACATACGTTCTGTGGCGTACGAGTGGGGATTAGGGTAAATCTCATTCCTTTTAGTTTCTAGCCATAGTCCACGGTCTGTGTCAAACACCTCCTTGCACAAGGAAGTAAAAAACTCCTTGAACACGCCACCGCCGTCAATTCCGGCCCTAACGAATGACCACCCATCAGTATCTGTACATTAGACAAATTTTATGCCTTATACACACTCAGGCTCTCCAAATTGATCGATAAATGTTATAGCGATCGGGGCCCTTAGATCTGCTTCGGCCAGTCTGTCATATCCATCTTGCGCGATATGGCCTCTGCGAATGGATACATCGATCCGCCCACGTGTGTCCCTATTGCGGTTCCACTTATCGTTTTCTACGAAGCGCCGGAAAATCAAAACACGAGTCTCAAATTGGACAGCGAATGGAATATTGTTGAGGACCCCGAGCCGAGGGGAAAAGTGTGAGAGCTGTCTCTTAGTCAAGGTCCGCGGCGCGGAAGACTCGTCGAGCTGCTGTTCTTCGAATCTGTGAAGACGTTAGTTAGCACAGGTTAGAGATGATAGATTCACGAGTGCGACCCACACAGCAGCATCTATGAAAGAATTCATGTCGATCTGAGAGCTTATATGCCAGTGGTTCTCAGGCATGAAAGGTTTGCGGGAGCTGAAAAACACCAAGTCGGTATGAATTACTGAGCGACTGCGATGATATGCGCGGACTTACTCCCGTGCATGAATAGCTTGTAGACATTTCGTTATCTTGTCTCGTACACCCACCCAACGGAGATTCAGACCCGGCACACCACCTTCCTGGATCTTCGTCTGGTCATCCCGCCAGTAAAGAGTAAATGCGATGTTAAACAGCGCACGAGAAAAGACCACCAGTTCGTCCAAACTCAACGACGTTCGGGAGTTGGAGAAAAATTCATCATCACCCATCGTCAAGAGAGATTGAGTATAAAGCTCAGTGAGTAAGAGTAGAGGTGGCCACGCCGACGCTAGCGAGGGGTCTTGATTATAATCAGTATGATTCATCACAGGAAGCACGAAGACGAACCCATCAAGGATGACATATTTTCATTTTTACCAAGTGGAGAGTTCCGTACATAGTCACGGTAAATCTCGCGCACAAGCCCACCCCCTCCATATAGCAGCAACGTACTCAGTATTTTGCTCTTCCGGGTAGGACATACGATGCATAAGTTGACAAGCCATGATACAAGATCGGGAAGCGCGCCATGATCATGCTGAGCTGCCTTCAGCAAGGAATTCAAGTGCGAAGGACTTGGAAGGATCTGGAGACGCTTCTGTGTCCGAGCATCTAGCGGAGGCAGCCTTGGCGTCGGTGCAAAAGATGTAACAACTGTAACTTGTGGTTGTTCTGATTCCGAATCACCATCGTCAGCCCAAGACATTGTGGGGGCGCGGGCATCAGATACTGATGGAGGATCGAGCACATGCACAGGAAGGATGCTCAGTGAAGCGGTCATGAGCTGGAGATATGTTTTCAAAGACGAAAGAGGTAGAATCGCATATCTTGGGGAGGTAAAAGCGTACAGGTTGGCTATAAGATGCACATGGGATTGGAGAGGGATTGTGGAGACAAGTTCGGCAACAGAAGTCGACAAGACTGACAATGAAGATAGAGGAAGTTTTGCGGAAAGGGCTGTGAGTGACGAGATCGGGATTCGATTTGGGAGAAGAGGGGTTGTGAGTATATGAATGATGAGAGACCGAAAGCACTGCAAAAATGCCTCTGAAGAGCGTTCTAATGTGTTGAGCGGGCGATATATGAGTTCCACAAAGAAAGGTAGGGTTGGAGCATTCTTTGTCTCCGGCCCCTGAGAATAATATAAAAGATATAGAGAAGGTGGGGCCAAGGAAACTCACAATGGTTTGTATTGAACGAGCAAGGTATTGATACAAGTCATGCCTTACAGCATATTCGGTGATGCTCACAGTGAGCTGATTACCGGAAGATCCCAGTGCTTCAATAGCAGACGCTGGGTTCAAGAGAGTGCACAAGACTTGAAGGCATGAGACAGCGCGTTCAGATCTGGATCAGGTTAGCTCAGTCAAGAGATTGATAATATGTATCAGAACCTTGGGCGATCAGAAACAGAGCGTAGGAGTAGGAAGAAAACTTGTCGCATCAGTACAAGCCAGTGTTCTCGATCACGGCCATGGGCGAGGCTGAATAGCGAACCTAGGTGAATGATTATTTGGTGGAAGCATGGTGTCGTACAGAAGCCGCGTACCTTGAGAAAGTACCTCCACAGCCCATTTATCGAGGAAATAGGTGTCTTGTCCGATGAGGACGAGGCATCGGAGGCCAGTGAGTCCTGTAACATCTCCTGTGAACAGTTCACGAAGTTCCTGGCGGACCCTTCTGGAGTCGGTGATGCCACGCCACCAAGCCTGGATTGTAACTGCACTATCTTGTCGTTTTCGGACAGTTTCCCTCTCGATTCTTCGAGCTCTGGCCTGATTTAATATAGCTGTTTGAGAGGTGGTGACCGAGCTCGATCCGCCAAGATTGATCTCGCGACGTCTTTCGTCCCCAAAGAGTGGTAGCATATCCTGTGGTTGGTTTTGATATGAATTCGCGTGCTTGAATATTTGGCTGCAGAAAGTGGTCTTGCCTGTTGTCAGAGTAGAGTGACCTGGTTGGTTGGTTGGTTGGTTGGTTGGTTGTACTACGGTAAGTAGCAATAAGTATGTCGTACTATGATAGTAGTATGTAATGATGCGGCTACGCGTTCTTGCTTGGTCAGCGAATAAACCCTAACCCTAGAATGGGTTTTGAACTGGCTCAAAGTTGGTCACACATCGGGAGTTTCAACGTTTTGCCTCTTGCAAGATTTCCATCAAAAGCAGATCTGGACCTGACTAGACAATTCCAGACTTAGCCTAGAGCGTTCCAGAGCGCTCTGGATTACCTTTCGAATGTAATTTCACTGGCGGCAAAAGGTGGTAAAATGTCAGTTTCCCGCTGTGTCACGTTTAGATATTTATGCATAATTAAACCACTACATAATTTAAGGTATGGACGCGACGACTTCGCTCATTACGCGCGCGTACTACATCAAATATTGTAATTTTGCTCTTATTCTTTTCACACCAGGTTTTTCATATATCTTGCCATCTCGACGGTATTATCATATAGGACCGAGCGGCATTGAGTATGCTTTCGCCTTGGTCACAACTATTCCCAATCAGCAGCTTTCACCTAGGATTCACGACTTTTTCGCCCTCTCCTGCATCAATTGACGAGCACCATGTCATTTCAGTCCGTCTCGCAGATTCTCCTCTTGGGATATACAAAATCACGCGCTCGTTGACTCACGAGGTTGTATGCCCACCACCATCTCTGCATCCATCCTCGGACGACCCTCAGCTCGCTTGGCAGGCCAGATATCCCAAGGGTTCCTGCAGTCCAAAAACGGAAATCCCTGGTGGATTTGGATTTTATCTCGGTGGGCCCAAAGAAATTGTGTCCTTGTTGGAAGGCGCAAAAGAAGCAGTTTTTGGATATCGGGTGATGTTTGAGAAGGGTTGGGAGTGGGTCAAAGGAGGGAAATTGCCAGGAATATGTACGCTCATCCCTGTTTAAGTCCTGAAATGAGATATTGATGCACAATTGCAGATGGTGGTATTGGCGACATCGCCTATAGATGCTCTGGTGGACGGCAGAACGACCGTTGCAAGTGCTTTGATGTTCGTTTCATGTGGAGGTAAGTAGCACGTACCCCTTTCTGACTTGTTTCCTGATGCCTGGCTAGGCGTGATGGGCAAGGAGAAATTTACGCCTATCTACCTATAAACGAAACAAATACAAATGCACTTCTTGCGGTTCCGCCCTGCTCCAAAGCCAACCCTGATTATGGGATTTCAGTCGGAATCGGCGCATGGATCTTTGGGTCAGGTGTCTGGACAACTATCGCACAACGTGTTCAACTTAATGATATCGGCAGAGCTGATGGTAAGGCGTAGTGATCGCTGGAGTAATACTGAATCTCGTGTCCTAGGAGAACTCCAGCTCTGGATTAACGGCGAATGTGTGATTCACGCAAAGGGGCTAATTTTCCGAGAGGACGAGGCATCCCATATCAAGGGCATGCATTTTCAGACGTTTTTTGGAGGTGCGCGAATTCTTCCGTTGCTTGTTGTCTGGTAAATGCTTTTCGGTTGCAAATTGGTTTCTCATATTATTGATCAGGACATGAGTCTGATTGGGCATCACCCAAAGATCAACATGCTTGGTTTTCCGATGTCTCTGGAGCCGTCATTCGTTGATATATGTTTTCTGAACGAGTCTCGAGTTATTTCGCGCTCGTTCATGCTACGTGTATCCTCACAATACATCTCCAGTGAGGCATTTAGCCATATATCGACTCAACCCCCTTTTTTACTTTCTTTCGTTTGAAATGTTTGTCATGACACACATGCAGTACACCTTCCAGTTTATTTTTGAACGTGCCTTAATGTACTCCCATTGACCTCTTGGTAGATAATATATGTAGGTATCACCGGTCATTCATTACAACAATACTGCAGCAAGTGATTTCGACTCGGAGCTGCCCCACCAGGGAAGGTCGTTCGTACAGTAAGCACATTGTGCATATTCACCTTATGCAATTCCTTTGCCTCCACAGTGCGACCCAGCAGCAAACAGAGATAGTCTTTAGCACACCAGCTTTCTCGTCAAGTACTGACGAGCTGGCTCATAGCTGACTATTCCCAGCGCGAACTTACGATATTTGTCAACTGAGCGAGAAGTCCGTATGACCACTGGAGCAAATGGGCAGTCGTAAATCTAGGAGATACGATGAACCGAAAGTTCCATCATGTTGTGACTCTAACTTGCTCTCATAAACCAAACATCGTTCTTCATCTGCTCCACATCCAAGGGATCCGCGAGGCGCACAATGCAGATATTTGCATTACGACACCACCTGAACATTGAGCGTATAGCCTCATCGAGCTCCGTGCTCACTGCTGTTTATTTTGTCCATGCCAATTGGTGTCCTAGTTCCGTCGCCTTCTCGCAAAACTTCGACAAGTTTTGAAACCCATCTTTACCACATTCCAAGACTTCCTAGTGGTGATCGAGACTTGTTGAGAGGATGAATGCTATCTAGACATGTTCACCCGCACCTTCTCGTCTGTAGAATGAAATGGTAGCGCATCCCACTCATCTTGTTCCAAAGCATCCTCCTCTATTTTCAACTGCGGGTGCGTGGCGAGTCTCTCGCAAGCCACGTACGCATCATAGAAGTTCGGAGGGATCGAGCGCACAATGAAAACGTACAAACATCTTCATTGAAACGGTGGACGGTATTGGTGGGGGACTGTGATCGCTGCTTGTATCCTCTTGGTTGAACAGCGTTTCAAAACTCCACCGCCCGAGGATCAGACGGTCTACGAGTCACGACTCGAACGAATCTGTTCGACGGGTTTCTTTCCAATTACACTAGCACTGGGCAAAGATGCTTGTCTCCTGCATGGTTATTGTCTAGGGTATAGAATAAAATAGCCTAGGCCTGTGAGTACAAAGATTTTAGCGTCCATTAAATTGTGTGATTACCGTGCGTTGGACCTTGGTGAATATGAAACGGAGCGCCATAAAGGAGGGTGGTAAGTTTAATATTACCGTTCTTCCCATGCTCGCCTTGACTGACCACTACATCTCGAATCCCACCAAAAATTGGGGACAGTACTTGTTGGAATTCCACCATACGATAAATCGTTGCTAATGTCGTCCTCGTTGTCCTTCCGGTTGTCACGTGGAGTTTTGAGCACAATATCACCTCCGTGTGTACTTGCATCAAGAGCCTTCACATAAAAACTTATCTGACTGAAGACATGCCGCAGTATCCCGCACGCAAAATCATGGGGAGTAGGGTATAAGCCGACAAAAACACGGCCCTTGCTCGACATGTCGCAAGGTGTTCCAGGAACTCCTCCATCTAAGGCTCTTCTCGACGCTCTATCACACTCATCGTCTTCTCCGGGATCATCAGGATACTGCCATGTTCTCGGAGAACATACCCTTCGTTCTGCCTTTGCGGAGGAGATGAAGACAGTATACGGACCAGATATAGATGTCACCCAAGACGACATTGCTATCACGGCTGGGTGCAATATGGCATTTGTTGCGACTGTGATGTGTCTTGCTGATCCAGGAGATGAGATTATTCTGCCAGTTCCATGGTACGTTTGTCACCTCTCCTTTGTGGTCCCGCTCAAAAGACGTCGAGTAGGTATTTCAACCACCAGTATGGTAGTTTACTCACCGAGTCTGCTCTCATTTGCCTGATTACTTGCCCAGAATGAGCTTGAATCTTCTCGGCATCAAAACAGTTCCACTATATACTCGCGCTAATGAGGGCTTCCTTCCTTCAGCGAGCGACTGCGAGAAGTTAATCAACCCGCGGACAAAAGCAATTGCGCTTGTGACTCCAAATAACCCAGTTCGTCCCTTCAAGTTGCTGGTTGACGTGCGTTAACTCATAACCACCGTACAGACAGGTGCAACTTATTCTCCAGACTTGCTTTCAAAGTTCGCCGAGCTCGCACATAAACACAAGATTGCTCTTGTCCTCGATGAGACTTACCGGGATTTTGTGGACATTATGCCCCCGCACACCCTTTTCTCTCCATTTCAGACAGAGGTGTCGAAGTCCTCTTGGTCATGGAGATTCAACGTTATCCATCTCTTCTCCTTTTCCAAGTCTTACTGCTTCCCTGGACATCGGCTGGGTTTGATTGCAGCGTCACCCGACCTCTTGAAACATGTCACCACCACGCTCGACTGCCTACAAATATGTGCACCACGCCCTCCACAATTAGCTCTTGCTTCTCCAGGCTTGCTACCTATATTGCGTCAGTCAATACAAGCCAGTGCTCGATCGCTTAAAATACGCCACAATATTTTCCGCACACATCTCCCTCCCGGTTGGACGATCGGATCGCAGGGTGGTTATTTCGCCTTTGTAAGGCACCCTTTTGTTGGGATCCCTGCAATCACACTATGCCAGCGACTTGCAGAAGAACTCGGCGTTTTAGCCCTTCCCATACAGTTCTTCTGCGATGACAGCGTCGAATCTGAACTCGAGTCACTTGGTCAGTCGAAGATGGATTGGGAGCGTTGGATCAGATTCTCAGTGGCAAATGTGAGCGATGACATGGTCAAACAAGTATGTGGGCGACTGCATGAGTGCGAGCAGCACCTCGGTTTGACAGCAGAGTAGTCCAAATTAGTTTGTGCTCACAGATTGGGCCACTTGTTGCCACACATACTCGAGGTGATTTTGCCGCGGCATCTTGAGGACGGCTCAGAATGATCCGTATCCGGCTTGTTGAAAACCCGGTACCTTGCCGTGATTTGGGTATGTGTCTGAATCGCCCAAGCGCTAAGGTACCCGTATATGTATGAGATGGAGTTTGAGCGCACACGCGAGACAGATAGGTTGAGTTGAATCAGAATGGCCGCTGTAAGTCCCGGCCGAGTAGATCCTTAGCCAAGAAAATCAGTGACAGTAACGCTTAGCTCATGTTGATCATGGGTCACCAGGGTGTTCCAGCTATGTAGCTCCGCGCTTTCAGGAATCAGAATCAAAGCCTAATCTGTCATATTGTTCACTCCAGAAACTACAAATTGTCAAATGACTAATTAGCGCGGTGCCTACTCTCCTTCTCTCTGCGTGGCCACTGCCAATATGATGGCAACTCCAACTCCAACCTTCCGCACAACTACTCCCCCTCCTGGACGCACCTTTGCGAACCAGCATACCCTGCCGAAGCTCCCAGTTCCATCTCTCGATGACACTTGCAAGCGCTACTTGACCGCTCTTCGAGGTCTCCAGGACGACAAGGAACATGCTGCCACTCAACATGCTGTTCGAACTTTCTTAGATGGCGAAGGTCCCGCTCTACAGGGGAGATTGAATGAGTGGGCTCAAGAGAAAGCAAGGTGAGTTTTGTCCATCGCTATTCGAACTGCTGCATCATGACTTTCCGGATCTCGTCTTGCAACCCTTTCGTTGCTCGCAGTTATATCGAGGACTTCTGGTGAGTTTCTCTTATCTTACCTTTAGGTACTTCTTCTAATCATAGGTATTTCATCCTTATGGTGGGTAGGTATGAAAGTTATCTCTCGCACAGCGATCCTGTAGTACTTGCTCTCAACCCGTTTTTTGTCCTCGAGTGCGTTTCATGTGATTTTCATTTGACTTCTAAAACCCTCCTTAAATCCACCGCCCGCAGGAATGATCCTACTCCGGATCGGGGCTCTCAGCTACCCCGCGCTACGGCTCTTATCATATCGTCATTAGGCTTTATTCATGATCTCCGCCAAGGTCAACTTGACCCCGATGTCGTACGTGGTTGCGCACTAGATATGGATCAGTACAGTAGATTGTTCGGGACTGCTCGTATACCAACAGAGGTATGTCTCGCAAAATCATACCTGAACTCAAACCAAATCTGTCCGTTCGGCCAGCGTGGCTGCAAGATGCTCGTGAACAATGCAGCTCGTCATATAGTGGTTTTGCGGAGGGGACAGTTCTGTTAGTTGGACATGCTAGCCCATGTATTTAGCCACTAATATCTCACTAGATTGGTTTGACGCCCTTGACGAGGATAACCGACCTCTGTTGACCGAACGTGAGGTTCTTCGCAACCTCCAAGCCATCTGCAAGGACGCTGACAAGACTCCAATCACTGAGGTCAGGACTCATTGAACAACACTTATCTATTTCCTCTGACTGTGGCTCATCAAGGTTGCTCGTACGGCTATTGGTGTTCTCACTACCGAGAATCGGAAAACTTGGTCTTCCCTTCGACATGAACTCGTGCAGGATAAGACCAATGCAGCTTGCCTGCGTCTGGTCGATGATGCTTTGTTTGTGGTCTGCTTGGATGATGCAGCCCCAGGTCGCGATGGCATCGGCGCGCTCGCTCAAACCGGCGAAAAGGGAGAAGACCTCGCTGCCCTATGCAGTAATTTCCTTTGCGGAACTTATGACCTGCGGGAAGGTGTGCAGGTTGGCACGTGTACTAACCGGTGGTATGACAAAGTGAGTCGGCGTTCACGATGCTTATCGGTAATTGATCTGATTCGTTATTTGATTTAAGCTGCAAATCATTGTGTGTGCGGATGGTGCCGCCGGCATCAACTTTGAACATACTGGCGTTGACGGCCACACGGTTTTAAGGTACCTCTTAGTCGCCTCAGACTATTTTATTACTACTATATGCTCATGTTGCGATCAGGTTTGCTGCAGATGTCTTCACTGAAGGCCTCATGCTGCTTGCGCGTTCAATCAATCCCTCCGCACCCACTCTATTCCACGCATCCCTTTCTCCGCACGCTAAGTCCTATAGGCCTCCCAAGTCGATAGCCGGCGGCAAATCGCCAGCATCCTCTCAAAGTTTCTCATATGATACCTCACCTTCTAAACTCATGTGGACACTGACTCCCTCAATTCGAGTTGGCATCCGGTATGCTGAGACACGGCTGAGTGACCTCATATGTCAGAATGATTGTCAGGCGCTCGAGTTTAAGGGCTATGGAAAGAATTTTATTACGAGTCATGGTTTCAGCCCCGATGCGTTTGTGCAGATGGCTTTCCAGGCGGCATACTTCGGGCTTTATGGTCAGGATGCGCTCCAGATAGGTTGTAACCTTAATACTGACATTGTGATAGGGAGAACGGAGTGTACTTATGAACCTGCAATGACGAAAGCCTTCCTTCACGGGAGGACTGAAGCTATCCGGACAGTGCAACCAGAGAGCGTGGACTTCACGAAGGTAAGCACCTATACAAGCATTGGGTTCTTCTTTCTTACTGGTTTCCATTCATCTATTTAGATATTTTTCTCGGAGTGTTTGCCTGATGAGAAGATCCGTAAATTGCGCAAGGCATGTGATCGACATGTACAACTTACGAAGGAGTGCAGCCAGGGCTTGGGCCAAGACCGGTCGGTTCTCCTGTCAGCCGTACCCCCATTTCAGTATTGATGGCTTCTTGCAGACACTTGTATGCATTATACTGCTTGCATCAGCGCCAGGCGACAGGAAACCTTGACCCTTCTCCTGATGACCCGATCCCGAACGGAAACATTCAAAAGAATATCCTTCCATCAATCTTCGCTGACCCGGGCTGGGGTCTACTAAGTACGTCCATTCTGTCCACTTCAAACTGTGGAAACCCTGCATTGCGCTTGTTCGGATTCGGGCCCGTTGCGGCTGATGGGTATGGCATTGGATATATTATCAAAGAGAATGGGATTAGTGTGTACGCCACAATTCTCATTATCCATCGGCGTGTCATTGAGACTGACGAATTCTTACAGCGTCGCTTCATCGAAGCATCTACAGACGCGCCGATTCCTGGATACCCTCCAGGGATATCTGTTAGAAGTTCAGAGGATCTTAATCCAGCTCCATCGCTCTGCAAATGAACGCCCAGCGCCATTTGTTGATCACTCTGGCATCCTCCGTGACTCTAAGACTGGTCGGCCAATCAACGGCCACGATTACGGGTCAGACGAATCGGGCAGCGACTATGGGGATACTATGCGTGAGTCATTTGATTATGCGCAGCTTTTGGTAGGCTTACTAATACTTATATTCTTAGCTAGTTATTCGTTCTTTGACAGTGGTGATATCGAACTGCTCGGGCGCCACAAGAGAAGTCCGTATGCAAATATTGGTGTGTCTGACCTCTGCAATGTTTTACCAGCGCTGATTAACTCCGGCATGTAGGAAAAGTCCTCCCGCTTTCCGATTATTGACAGAAAGTGGCTAAATGTTGTATGTACAAGTATGGGAAAATATATTTTAGCCTACATTTTGCGTGTATCACTGCATTTATGATGTATCTGATGTCAGAGTTATAATCGTATGACGTGGGCTAGTAACACGTATGCGGCGTTGATAAACAAACGACAACTGAGATAAATGGATGATATCAGTCTCCTATCATATTCCCACTCTCTTGAGCTCACCACCACTGTCTCTGTATCATCGAAGCCATCATGTCCACACACACTCTCCCTGATCTCCCATACTCCTATGATGCTCTCGAGCCTTTCATTTCGAGGCAGATCATGGAGCTTCATCACAAGAAGCATCATCAAACCTATGTGAACGCTCTCATTGCTGCTGAGGCTAGCTACGCAAAAAGTTCTACCCCCAGAGAGCGCATCGCCCTCCAGGCAGCACTCAAGTTCAACGGTGGTGGTAAGCCTTCATACTTACTTCAGGCGCTAGATGCGTTAATTGGCTTATCGCTCGTCATCGATCGCGATCTCACGTCATCCATTACACATACTTAGGTCATATCAACCACTCTTTGTTCTGGAAGAACCTAGCGCCTGCCTCCAGTGAGGGCAAGGGTAATGGTGGTTCCTTGAAGGCTGGTCCTCTTAAGGACGCCATCGAGCAGACCTTCGGGTCGCTCGATGCGCTCAAGAAGGAGTTCAATGCCACCACCGCTGGTATTCAAGGTTCCGGATGGGGCTGGCTCGTAAGTTTCTTATTTCCACACACGAATGATGTAGCGCTCATGGCGCTTCACACTTAGGGTTTGAACCCCACCACCAAGCGCCTCGAGGTCACCACGACTGCAAACCAGGACCCGCTTCTGACGCACATCCCTATCATTGGGGTTGATATCTGGGAGCATGCTTTCTACCTCCAGTATCTCAACGTTAAGGTTGATGTGAGTCATCATTATTCGTTTGGAGCGAGAGGCACTTCATTGATCACATCTATAGTATCTGAATGCCATCTGGAGCGTTATCAACTTCGAGGAGGCTGAAAAGAGGTTCACGGAGGGTCTTTCTTCTAGCAAGCTGTAAGCTTCTGAAGGTGACAGAATAAAATGAAAGAGAAATGAATTCGCGCCATGTTGTATTATCGACACGTTACTACTTATCGCAATGAATTGTGTCTATCATTGATCGTTCTAGGCCAACGCTCCGATGAGTTTGATTATCTATCTATTGAAAAACGTGCACAGGTTTGTTACTTGTCTGACATTTCAGTACTGTTAGCCCTTTGTTATCACAAGGAAGCCAGCGGGAATCCTTCCGAGGCAAAGAGTGCCTGGAGAAAATTACTACGTGCTAGGCGGGGATAGGTATCAAATCGGTAACAGCGACTTGTTTCACTCTACCAAATAAGTTTGCGTTCTGTTCGGATTGGCTCCTCACTGAAGGGTGCACCGGTGAGGGTCCCTACAATGTGACAGAAGAAATGAAAGTCTGGCTAGCGTACCATCGCATCGGGTGCCTGAACGAATATGGATGACAACTGATGCGGCTTAACAGCGCACTATATAGATTCCCCACCCGACAAGCCTCAAGAGTGGGAACTCAAGGTGGAGCAGCTCGCATTCACACCCATTCACGGCAATCATAGCGGTGCAAACATTGGCAAGATTTTGATTGAGAATATAGATAAATATGATCTCCGCACCAAGCTTGGGTGGTTCACCGCAGATAACGCTACTAACAATGATACTGCCATCGAGATGGTTGCTGGCTCTATCGACCCTTCTGGCGAGAAGTGGAAACCAATTGAGCACCGAGTACGGTAAGTGTGTCTATTAAATACTTAAGTCAAGATTACTGATCAGCACTCAGTTGTATGGAGCACGCGCTGCATCTAGCAGCAAAACACTTCGTCGAAGAAGTGGCTCCTACGCCTGCAAGCGCCTTGCACAAGAAGGCAGGTCAGGCTGAGGACGATGACGACGATGATGACGAAAGTGTCGAATTCGACATTGGTGACACCATCGGCAAGGCACTCGCATTCGTCGCACAAGTAAGTACTCAAGTACTCATCTAACTGTCGTTGTATACTGACATGACACTGTTTAGGTTCGGAAGTCCCCTCAAGCGCGCGCCTTCCTTCAGAAGTGTTGCGCGGAAGTGAATGAGCCCACCTTAGAACTCTCAAAATGGATTCGCACACGCTGGGCATCGCTTTTCAACATGCTGCAGCGTATTTTTCAATTGCGCAAAGTAAGTGCTCTACTATACTAATGACTACATGAATACATTGCTCACTTGATTTGTCAGGGAATAAACAGATTCATCCAGCTCGCTGACGAGAGTGACGAGGTCCCAAATTTGAAGGGCAAGTTATACGCGGATTTCAGACTTTCAGCACCTGAATGGACCAAGTTGGAGCTGATGCGTGAAGTCCTCCAGGAGCCCGCAGACGCTCAACAGAGTTTCTCAGCGACACGTGAACCAACCGTATGGCGGACTATCCCAGTGCTCGAATGTCTTCAAGAGACACTGCAAAATATGGCAGGCGCGTCAAAATTCAACCGCTTCTCAACAGCTATTGAAGCTGGTGTCATCAATCTCCGCAAGTGGTATGGTAAGACTGATGACACGGACGCATATTTCATTTGCCTAGGTATGTATCATATTTATTTTAATATGTTCGATTGACATTTACCTTTTGGTGTAGCGCTCGACCCCAACTACAAGGTCGCATATGCACGTGACAAATGGGCCCCTCATTTTTTCAACAAAGGCATGCAATGCCTCGAGAGAGTCGTATGTCGCTCATCACTCTTTTATGTCAATTGTATACTAATATTACATAGTTCAATATGTATGATAACACTAGTACTTCCTCGCAGACTCCTGTAGGGCCGTCTGTTACTGCACCTCCCTCACTTGCTCGCCAAGGCTTGTATGGCCATAACTGGATGCGCAACTCTGTGAAATCACGTATCGTGAATGATACAGCCACGCGAAGGCCTCGTCAAGAACTCGGGGACTATCTGGACGCACCGCTTGAGGATGTTGACAATGTAGTGGCCTGGTGGGGGGTATGTCTCATTGTTTTATTCGTGTTGCTTGCATACTAACAAACTTTCAAGCACCATTCTGTGCAATACCCGACTGTCTCCCGCATCGCGAAGGACTACCTGGCCATTCAGGGCTCGGCTGTTGCGTCCGAGCGAGCGTTTTCAAGCGGCGGCATTACTGGGACCGCACGTCGCGGCAGCTTGCAACCAACAACATTCGAGGCTCTTCAATTGCTCAAGAGTGCATACCGTCAAGGGCATATCTCTGCGACAGCCCAGGCTGAGTTTGTCGCTCCGTATGATAACCGCATTGTGAAGGAAGGGTCCTAGTAGCTATTGACACTGTACACATTGTTTTTTTTTGCAAATTGAAGCAACGGTTCGAGGGTTCGAACGCGTCCTGAACCCGAACCGAACTCTTGCGAACGCGTTCGAAGGGGTCCAGTCCTAGGTTCAGCCATCTGGCCTGAACCTGACCAATGGTCGAGTTCGGGGTTCGCAGATATAGGGCAATGAACCCGACCGAACCGAACTTCGGCACCACTACTGATGCCCATACTATTGACAACACGGTAGTATTTCAGCGCCACTCGCTTAGTAAGCCATTGTTTGAGCCCCTTTGAAGCTCGAACTGCATTCTTGCCGTTCAACTTGAAGCTCCCTTGTCTTTCATTACCCGCCACGCGCGCATTCTGGTCGTTGCTAGAACCCGCAAATGTTCGTACTTGCACTTGATGAGTCTAGGCATTCAACTAACGTCACGTAGGGTCGAGTCGGCCATGGTTGATTTCTATGCCGTGCTGGGGAATGAACATTACCTCATTTCAGTATCTGCAAAGAGTAAAATCATACATATCTTCGAATATCTCAAGTCACACTATGACGAAACCCATCCAGTCCTGAAGAGGATCTCGTATAAGCGATGCAAGTTCTACAAACTCAAGAACCCTGTATTAGTTCCCGACGAGGATTCCGTGGACAAGGCCGACATGATCAAACAATGTCTGGATGAGCAAAATTGGACAGAAGTGTTACCGGATAGACGTTTGAAAGTACTGGGATCAGAACTAAACGACGATCATATTTTTTTGGTGGTCAAGCCTCCACGACCTGAAGGTGCGCCACTGCTGTATCTATTGATAATTGACATTCTCATACTCTGCTTCAGAGGAGATAGATAAAGCCATTGAAGATGTGCTTGAGAAAGACGAAGAGCTTTTTCGTCACTTGCAAGTCACTGTAACAAAGCTGCAATCATGGACCAAGCAAGACATTGAACATAACTTGGACGGTGGCACCTGGCTGACTCATAGCCAAGAACGACCAGATTCAATCACTGAGATAGAGGCTCGACTAGGTCGAGTGCGCATATACGCTGCATTACAAAACGACCCGTTATACGATGGGGACTCTCCGAGACTGTCATCAGGCTCAACCCCGTCAACTACCCCAATCGCACACAATAGATCCATCCCCCTCCCGGATGCGATGAGGGACTTAGAAAATGCCTCCAGTTACCGGGCACTCTTTGACGACGTATTTAGAGCCACTCTATTCACGCCCACCGAGGAGAGCCCTGGCGATGTGAAGGATACCCGGGAATTCGCAGCTTTCTTCAGCATCCTCCGTTCTTATCACCAAGACTGCCGTCTTCTGGTGAACGACTCCTCCTCCTCCCAGAAGGCTAGCAATTTTACTGTACATTTCATATCGCCGCCTTTCTTTTCCCATCGTAGTGAACATTTTAAATACAAAGAGTAAGTGAAATCAATTCGTTGTTACAGTCCAACTGACCATCATGAATTTCTCAGGCAGATGCCTTGGGAATTTCCCATCTTCCTGAATACTCGGGATAATCCCAACGTCTGGTGCAAATTCTGCCCAACCAGCGATTGCATGGTTTCGTCTACTTCGTTTCTTTGTCCCTTCATGATCTGTGAAGTGGTTTCACAGAAAAACGAGTCCGATCGACTCCGCATGCTAATTCAAGGCATCGCTCTTGCACGCGTAGGACAATGTTTCATGCCAGACGGAGAGAAATTCTTCCTTGTGGCAATTTATCTCCGTGCAAATTTGACTGCCGAAAGATATATCATTACCCAGCCTGGTGCAGATAGAAGGGTCTGTCGCTCTGTTTGTCGTTGCTTTTTGTTTCTTACATGGAGGCCAGGTATTCATTGCCCAGAAAGATTTTGACCTTACAAAGGCCAATGAGGCAGTCGCATTCCTTCGTGAGATGTACAACCTCGCGCAGGAGCTCGACGATTTAGCGGGCAAACTTGATCCAAAGAACAAGAAACGCCTTGGGAACATCAAAGTTGCCGCGTCTAAGGTGATTTCTCTTACGTCACAGGCTCAGCACAACAAAACACCAAGAACGACATTGGCCTCCATCCCTGAAGAAAATCGTGAAGCCAGTGGCGCTCAGGATGATCTCGGCGTCTTTGATGCTGATGACATTCAAGGTATTTTGAAAAAGATGGATTACCAGATCTCGTTCATTGTGTTTGGGGTGTGTACTACCGCAATCAACAATATAGTAACACTAACAAGACATTTTACAGCATCCGTTCCTCGCCTTGGTGTCATATATCGAGGATGATTCTCAACAAGGATATCTCAAATTTGTGAAAGAGGGGCAAAAAGAGATCGAGATTTTGCGATACCTCACGGGGATTGAATCTCCCTTAAACTACACCATCTCGCCAGTTCAAATCTGGCCGGTGCAAGGGGGTAACGTCGTATCAATGCCTACGGCTGGCAGCCACCTTACCAGTCTATCCAACCCCGGCGCGCACCTATGGCCTGTGGCCAAGCAGCTATTCGAAGCTGTTGACTTCATGCATCAGCATGGCGTGGCGCATCTGGATCTGAAGCCTCCAAATATCCTCGTTCCCACCGACGGCGGCCGCCTGTCTATCATCGACTTCAACAGATCCGTTCGCATCAAAGGCACTGAAACAATGTTCCGCGGGATTGTTGGCACCAGCGGATATCTTGCGCCCGAAGTCGCGGCTGGTCAAGGCCTCTACAGCGCGATCCGCGCGGACTTGTGGTCCTGTGGAAAGACATTGGAGGAGCTGTGTTCCCTGTGTAGTCCATCCAGGGATCGCAACGCGCTACTTGAAATAGCTCAAGAGCTCATGAATGACGACCCAAAACAGCGACCGATGATGTCAGATGTCTTGAAGAGGCTGGCGTATTACAAGGTCGATGCCAATACAGGACCAGGTTACTTCAGGTAACGTGCTCCATCCTTGGCGTGTATGCCGCACTGTATGCGAGCATTCGTTTAATTGTTCCGGGCAGTTTCTCCTCTGTCGCACCACCGGAAGTGCACGCTTGAGCTCAACCCGCTTGTACTACGTATACCTCAAAGTGAGCAGAAGGTAATCGGACGGACGACTCGATGGCCCAAGCGCACTGCATGCCAGTTATACCCTTGTGTAGAAGTAGGAAGGTCGATCATACCGCAATGTACCTATACCATTCGTCTGTCAGATGTTCTTAGCCAAGCTTTCTTAACTCAAGTGCGCCGCGCTCTACGTCCCTGAAGTGGTAGTTCTTGCGATTCACTTACCATTGTTTGCAATCAACCTACCATAGTGTCGCGAAATTGGAATGTCAATCGAGGCTAGTTAGATGGGGTGACGCTTACGGGGGCGCGCCCATGACACCAATTAGATAGGATATATATTCTATAAGAGAACGCTGAAGCTTGAAGGGCGGCAATCGCAGAGATATCAGGCTGTATCGCCTACGGCACATTGCCAAGAAAGCCTCTCCCGCTTGAGGGTATCGGGGAAGATGCTCGTTTCGAAACCTCTGTTGGAGACTTGAGCGGTCTCTTGAAGTACGGTTAGGAGTTAATGCGGCACTCTAAGTCCTGTCGCAGGCTCGATCATTTGTCCCTCTTCATTGCCTCTGCAGCATCCCTCTTCATACATTCCTCCATCTTCTTCGCAACCTCAATATACTCCTCAACGACATTCGACCTCTGATCCGTCCCAATATCTCCCTCAGATCGGTCTGCCTGCTCAGAAATGGGATCCATGATCTTAAACAAATGACCTCTGACCGTGCTCGTTGATGTTCGGGTCTTGAGGCTCTTAACGGTAGCCAGGTGCTCGAGTGCGAGGTCCGCATGGGGTGGATGTGCACCTGCCAGAGTTGACGATGAAGATTCCCAGATGATGCAGGAGCAAACGAGGCACGGTTGTATAAGTGCCCCTCACCCCATCCACGCCGGTCTCTCTCAGGCACTTCTCTGTAGAAACCATTCTAGTGGCTTCGTGACGCGCAGTTGCCTTTTCGAGTGGAGTCACCCGTCACGTCGCGTGGCACACTTATACAATCAAAGTAACAAGTTGATCCTCACTTGAGCCACAATTAACCCCAACCCGTGTCTCTCGCATCTGTCGGTGTATCGCACATCATGGCTCACATTTCCAAACGACGAAAGCTTTCAGACCTAACTGCAGGAGATACAAATGAATTGCTTGATAAGCTCGAGGAATTTCGTTCCAACCTTGATGAAGGAGACCAGGATTTGCCTGATGGTCTGATGGATAAACTCCAAGAACTGCGTGACAAATTGGAAGACGTTAAGGTGACGAAGGCTGAATGACGCTGAATTGTTTACAGCGCTGATCAGCCTATTCTTAGCATACTTCCTTCTCTAGGGTGGATCCAACCACGCTCCTTTCGTTGAAGATATCATCTGGTCCACTTTTTTTAGACAGCGACAAGAGGCAAGAAGTTGAAACCCTTGGATTGGCCGAATCACCAGGGTGCCTTCTGATTGGTACTACACGAGATCTGATAAATTTAGTGCGCGGCCACGTCTCAACGGTGGTACGTTACAGTGGTTGATTTTCATGATCGACTGTATATTCATTTAAACTTCAAAGACGGAAGCTGGATGTCGCATCTTGATCAACATACTCTTGTTGAGAGTTGTATCGGTCATGTGTGCGGGCGCCACGACGGTGAACATAATTCCAGAATTTTCTCTCCCTAGAACGACCTTCAACAGAGACTCTGGCAAATGTTCGTTTAGTGGCGTCGTCGACTTCCTGGTGACTAAACTCCCGACTCGGTACACCAGTTGGTTATTTTCCGTCACGCGCTAGGGTGGCTTTGAATTGTTTTTAGATTTCCTCCTGAGCGATCCGACGACAGCACTGGGGAATCCTGGGTACATCGAGGGACCAATGACGTCCAACATCTTCGAAGCCAAGCGCGATAACGCTCGGTTTGCTCTACCTCAGGCTGCAATTGCTGCGGCTTCGTATTGTCAACTGCAGGGGTCAGCTCTCTATCGTTCTACGTTATGCGAAGTAGTCTAACTTTTTGATAGCTTGTTTACCGTCAGGGGTGTTGTCACTAGCGGAGAAGAATGGATATTCTTCGTGTACGAAAGGCGTGAAGATGGTACTAGGCTAGTCCGATCTTCTCCTGAATACTCTCTGGGACATAATCTCGAAGGTCTAGCCTTGATTCTTGGCCTGTTGCGGGATTCGGTGCGACTAAATTCTCATATCTCATTTTTACATCCTCACCGTCTCGAATAGATCGACAACGCAACTAGCTCCGAGCATGTATTCTTCACTACGTGACGGGTATATGGTCATACGACACGTTCTCCTTCATAAGCTTTTTGTAGAGTATTTGTATTTGTATTTACCATCAGGGAACCCAGGAAAATAGTCATGTATAACATTTTATAGTACGCAATCACAAGCATGTGCATAATTCTGTTCGATTATGTATCACATATATAGTCATATTTATATGGGAAGCAAGAGTGATCAGCTTTGATAACAAAAGGCAATTGTTTCCTGTCAGATCCCAACTGCACCTGAGTGCAACTTTCATTACAGATGGTAACAGTGCATAATATTCATTACTTGGTGTTGAAGTATTCCATCCAATATGGTGCAACAGGCATTCCAGGGCATTGAGATGGGCAGCGCACATCTTTGGGGGTGCAGTTTCCTCCCCGGGTGGGGGCCCGCAGTCGTCCCCTCCGTTTCGGGTCCGTGGGGGGGTCGCGGGGGGGTCGCTTTTCGTCCCGGTCCAAAGCCCTGCCGCTCGTCCTTGTCTTTCCGTCCGTGGTCTCGCGACGTCCTCCGGTCGAGATCCCGGCCCGATGCGGCCCAAACGCTCGAAAATCATGGACGCGTTTGGCATCGGACCATGGGAACTTTTGGCCGGAAATCAATGTCGTGCCCCTCGTCCCGCAGAGTCCTTCCATGGTCTCATGGCATCCTCTCGTCGCATTCCCGGCTGCATGCGGTCGTAACACTCGAAAATGTGAAATCCAAAAATAAAAATACAAATATCCAAAAAAGCAAATGGCAGTAATCAAACTCGAGATCTCACAAACTTCGACGCGACAACCCATCTTCACCGCTCAACCATGACCACTTTGCTTGTCTTGGCTCAAAATGGTATATATGCTGCGACATATCTGAAAATAATTTGGGAGTGGTTTTCAACATGCCTTGCACGAGCCAAGGCTGATTCAGTCCTTTAGGCGAGACATTTGTCGCTTTTGCCCATGAGAATCTTCAGCCAGTCCGGGGGGCACTCGTTTCAGCCTTTGTCGGCAGTGGTGGCCTATTAATAGACCATGGGACTAGATCTTCATGCCTGCATGAGGCACACAGCAAGAACTCCAGGAATTTGTGGAATGTGTGTGTCCAGGATGTTAAGAACATGCTCAAGGGTCGTATCCAAAGGGCTTGGCTTCACATACCACAGAGGACACAACAGAGAATCAGTCAGCGCAGTGCGAGGCTATGGACGGCGCATGTGGAACACCTAACACTAGTCTATCACGGAAATTAAGTATAGTCGGTTATGAGACCTTCCAGGTTCCGTTCCACCAACAAAAACGGCATTCCTAGGTTTTCCCACGGTCTCACCTGGCCTTGCGGCACCAACATGGCTTTCCAAAATTGGAAAAAAACCTGGCCTTCTCAGACGGCCGCCATGCGGCCCCAACAACATGGCTTTCCAAAATTGGAAAATATCCCTCGGCCCTCTCAGACGGCCGCCCTACACATGACTTCCAAAAATATCCCTCGGCCCTCTCAGACGGCCGCCCTACGCATGGCTTCCAAAATTGGAAAACATACCATGCAATGCAACAAAATCTCAGAATATACTGGTGGTACTCTTCAGACTGCCGCCATGCATGCCCTTCATATAACTCCTCTCAACCACTCTCAGATACCATGCACACAGCAGCACTCTCAGACTGCCTTCCCATGCCTCTAATTTAAAAATGTCTGGCCCCACCACCGCCACCTTGTTCTTTCACAAAAAAAATGACCCTGTCCACGGTGGCAATCTAAGACTGCCGCTGGATGAGTAAAAAAAAAAAAGATGAACATGTAAACACTTTTACAACACCACCTTTGCTCTCACAAAAAAATGACCCTGTCCACGGTGGCAATCTACGACTGCCAGCAGTGTCATCAGATCATGCATGCAGCAGCACTCCTGTGGCATCAAAGCCCAAAGATAAGTGGGGAGCAGAAAGAAAAAACGCCATGTCTCCAGTGGCACTCTTGGACTGCCATGGTGCACATGATGAATAAAGTAATCATCCGCCCATAGCGAAGGCATAAAAGTCGATGACGGTTCCCTTTTTAAAGTTACGAGCGCATATGGGTGCTGGTAACACAGCAATGTTCAATTCAAAAATGAAAAAGCTGACATTTCAGAGACTTGATTGGCTGTAACACTCGTGCTCGCACTTGCTCTCCACTATACATAAAAAGGCCCTGCCCACAGTGGCACTCTCAGACTGCCATCCATGGGCAGGCTCTGATGTAAAATGTCCGCCATCTCCAACCTGCCTCGTGCTTGCACAAACAAATGATCCTGTCCACGGTGGCAATCTAGGACTGCCACACTGTGAATGAGATATAATTGTTTCATCACATTAAAAAAAAAGTCGATGATAGTTTTTTTGAATGAGGATGTTTGGGCTTCGCCACTGACTGTCTTTGGGACTGTCGTTGTGCATATTCTATCCCTCCCCCCTTGTCTGCTTCCGGCATGCACCATCGTTTACGTCTACCTCCCCACAATTCAGACAGTTGAAGAACTTCTTCAGGTGCACCCTCGTCTGCCTCCCCACAATTCCCTTTATCTCCTTCGGTGCAGTTCCAGGTTCAAAATGACCCTGTCCACAGTGGCAATCTAGGACTGCCACTTGGTGAATAAAGTAAACATCCGCCTGTAGCGATCAAACACAAGGTAGGCATAAAAGTCGATGTTGGCTCCTTGTTAAAGTTACGAGTGCATATAACAACAGCAATGTTCAATTCAAAAATGAAAAAGCTGACATTCCAGAGACTTGAAGATAACACTCATGCTCACACTTGCTCTCCACTGTACATAAAAAGGCCCTGCCCTCAGTGGCACTCTCAGACTGCCATCCATGGGCATGCTCTGATTTAAAATGTCTGCCACCCCAACCTGCCTCGTGCTTGCACAAAAAAATGCTCCTGTCCATGGTGACAATCTAGGACTGCCACTGTGAAATGAAAAACTTTGCAGTTTACAATATAATTGTTTCATCATTAAAGAAAAGTCGATGATAGTTTTGAATTGAGGATGTTTGTGCTTCACCACTGTAATGTGCACTCACAAACAAGAGTAAGCAATAAAAAATGACCCTGCCCCACAGTGGCACTCTGGGACTGCCACATTGTGTTAAAGCCAGAAAAGAAAAACACATGACAAGTGGTATCTTAGACTGCTACAATGTGTGATGTATGCCTGACTAACAAGCATGAGTACCAAAAAAAAAGTAAACATCCACCTCCTTCTGTGGGGGAAAAATAACCCTGCCTACAGTGGCACTCTGGGACTGCCACACTGTGAATTAATGCTCACATTGGGCCTATATATGCCACCCTCTATCTGATCCAATAAATACTTTACACCTGCCTGCATTTGGAAAGCCAAAGAAAATAAAAATAAAGCCACCCCCTAAAAACAAGTTGCACACATGAATCTATTTTTGAATCTGCCCATAGTGGCACTCTGGGACTGCCACAGTGGAAGAGCAAAAAAAACGGAAGAAATAAACATAAACAAGTCAATGCTAGTGGCACTCTGAGATGCATCACTCTATGTCTCTTCTCAAAACAATAATGCTGTCCACAGCAACATACCAAGACTATCAATCTATGCATACTCTCATTGAACCAACCCCTCCCCTTCACTTCCGTGTCTCTGTAATCATACCCAATCCACTAACCTAAAAAAAACATTGGATTCACAATTATACCTTTGGATATTGTTTCCTATGCTTGGACTATTGACCACACTTATCACTCACTATCAGCAATGGTAGCCATTCCAGACTACTTCAGCTAACCCCGGTCTGATCCGATCCGATCCGATATACGATAAGCTTCCTAATTCAATTCCTGTGCATATAACGTTAACACAGCCTATTCCTCTATTCGGTATTCCTTGTCCTCGGTATCTCGGTTATACTTACTACCGGTATGCTTACTGATCCGTTAACCTATGCTTCATTTTCCGACTCGCGCTTGATAACTTTGCTTATGCTTCATACATAGCCTCGGACACTTGCTTACTGATCTTTCTGTTATTTCCTTAGTATATAAACTCTTGTATATGTCCTGTAGTTCCTCAGTCTGAATATCATATTAGTCCTCGCACTAGATCTCACTCTAAGTCCTCATATCAGTTCTAGTCTATCGACTTAGTCAAATATCCATCTCGGGCCTAGGGGAGCTCCGCTTATCCACTCATCCACTCATCCGCTCATCCGATCCTCCGAAGTTTCCAGACGTTCGTCCGAAACTTTCCCACGGCCCTCCGGACCTATTCTGCTTCAGACTTTGTCCTTGCAGCCTTTCCTCTGTTTGCTTCTACTTAGGACTTGTCCTAAGTAGCCATTACACGTATCCGTATCAGGACAAAACCTCATCGTAATTTCCGGAAATTCCTCCGGAAGTTACTTGCACTCGTCTGGAAAGTCCTTCCGAACTTTCCCGCGCTTCGGATGTCCTTCGGACGTCCTTGGACTTTCTTCGGACATCATTCTGAAATTAAGGGCACATACTCGGGTAAGGGGCGCAGCCCACGAGCTGAAGCCAAGCCCCTCGGAATCAGTCCTACCCTTTGTGCATGGTCTTAACAACTCCCAAAACCCTATGGTAGAGCCCAAAAATGGTCAAGGCATCAATGAGCCCTGAGATATATCATATATACATATATAGTAGCAGTGTTCTGAAAAAAGTAAACAAAAATTTAAAATGAAACACAGCAGGTTCAAACTCACGCATTCCACTTGGAGCATTCTAATTTCATAATGAAGCTATACTGTTAGTGCATTGCTAACGGTATATCATCTCATCATGTCATATCCCGTATTCCGGACCTACATCTGATGATGTTCCCACACCTCATCCGGACATCCGGATCCCCTATCCATGTCTCCAGACCTTCAGCTTCTCTATTTGCCCAATTCCCAGATCCGATGTCCAGACATCTGATTTGACATCCATATCTCCGGATCCAACCTATCTGTCATGTCCGAACTCAAACCTTAAATCAGTGCTCATCCCCTTATGGTAATCACCTGTCTCCGGACTTCCAAACATCCAGATCTGACCCACATCTATCTTCCGTGCCATATCACATATTATTCCTCGCACTAGTCTTCACACTAAGTCCTCGTCTCAGTTCTAGTCCTCCGACTTAGTCATTATCCACCTCAGGCCTAGGGAGGAATTCCCTAGGCCGGAGCTCTGCTCCCCCGATCCTCCGATCCTCCGCTCATCCTATCCTCTACTTCATCTGTTCCTCCGTTCCTCTGAGTTTCCGGAAGTTCCTCTGGAACTTTCCCGCACTCATCCAGAAGTTTCTTGCACTCATATGGAAAGTCCTTCCAAACTTTCCCGCGCTTCGGAAGCCATTACACGTATCTGTATCAGGACGAAACCTCGTTGTAATTTCCAGAAGTTCACACTCATCCGGAAGTTTCTCGCACTCGTACGGAAAGTCCTTCCGAACTTTCCCGAGCTTCGGATGTCCTTCAGACGTCCTTGGACTTCCTCTGGACGTCATTCTGAAATTAAGGGCACATACTCGGGGTAAGGGGTGTAGCGCACGAGCTGAAGCCAAGCCCCTTGGATCCAGTCCTACCCTTTGTGCACGGTCTTAACACATCACCTCTAGGTCATCTCTTCACAAATTTCGCCAAGTCTTGCTATACAGGCATCTTGAATCAAGTTCTATGTGATGCTTGCTTCAGTGGGGCTAGCAAGACAGGATAGGACATGGAGAGGACAAGTGCGTGGGAAAACATTGGGTCCACTAATCTGATAAACATGGCAGGATGATTCCCACACACAAGGTAGCGGGTCCTGCCACGGATATGGCCCTGCGAGACTTATAAAATAAATGATGTGCTGACTGTGTGCAAAATTCTTGCGGGCTGCTGTTGGTGTCATATGACTAATCAGAATGGGTACTGCCATACCGGTCCAAATTTACTCGGTTCTCTCTCAAACTCTGCCAGATCTGACATGAGTTAGCAATTGTTTTAGAGGCTGTTCAACATGTTCGCTAAACATTATGGCAGATACCACTATTTTATTTTATTTTATTTGCACTACTTCCAATCCTGCCTCTTTGCTTGGCTGTTGAAACTGGGCATTTGCGGTGTTGTTGATCACATTGTCACCTAATTGGATCAGAAGCTAGTGATGAATCAGGTTATGCATCATTAGGCAAATACTTGTTCTGGCCCTTTCAAGGTGCGCTGTTCCCGTATGGCATGCTACAAATGGCCTGTTCGTGGCCGGTGTGTCCTGTAATGAGGAAAGCTTGGTGGCCTCAACTTTCCTTCATCCAAGTGACTCTCTTTCCCATGCAGCAGCACAACTGATGCATCTGTGCCTCTCAAGCTTACATTCAATTGCTCTGTGATAATCGAGGTGTTTTGCCTTTTTTTCAGGCCATTTCATTCATCGCTTGTGACATTTTCCTTTTTGTGCAAGCTAGTAAGGTGCGTCCATCCTCAGCATGTATTTTTTCATTATTGATTTTTCCTTTTACTCCACTTTTCAGTCTGCCCAAAATGTACTCACCTGTCACAAAGTACCTGCTAGACTGCAGACCAACTGGCAGCTGTTCAAATTCAGTGTTGGTAGCAATAAATAAGCTGTACAATAATGCTTTAATACTGGCCAGTACGTGACAGAATCCATTTGGTTTGCCTATAAGCTCAATTGAAGGTAAGACCGCTTGTATTCCTTTATTTGTCATCCAAGACCCCACACTGTTTTGATCACTAATGCCAAGATCCAAGTGAAACCTTTAGTATGAGCTAATAGCATTTCCTGGCAATAACAATGCTGCCAAATTACTGCTTGTCAGACCCAGATCTTGGTGAAACCTGTATCACTGCCCCCTGATCTGATATTAAACCATGTCCTTATTTACCAAGGCCATTGGCAGATACCATATCTTCCTTGAAGTTTCCTTGTCTCCCAACAGTGCACCCCACTCTCTTACTGGAAGTTGACAATACTGTCCTTGATATGTATGCCTCCATCACATCTTGTAAGTCTCATCTTTCTATCCCCAGCCAAGCTGTAATGACACTCTATCTCAGTCTTACATGATCCTGCCCTCGTGCACCAGGTGTTTGGATATATCAACTCTCTTCATTATTGCTTGGTATGGTACCAGCACATATACCTGTTGTAGTTGGCTCACTTTTGTTATATGCTCAGTTTTTGCATATCGTTCAGCTCTTCGTTCACCATCACATTTGAAAACTTACTCATGTCATGCATATGACCCAGTCTGTCATCACTGGCTCCTGCACCATGAGGATGCTCACTGGCAAGAATACTGCCACCAACAACATCAATTTTGTTATTGCCAAGGACACTCTAGATGTATTCTAGTCCTTTGTCTAAGACAAGCTTCTGTATCGGTGGACAACCACCAAGCCTCATTATGCTTTTCAAGACGTCCTTGCCAGCTTCACTGTTTATCACTGTACCAGAAGCTAAATATGAAGGGGCCTTCAGAGTCATCGCTTCCTCCCCTACCATAGTAGACATGATGATGATGACACCTGGATCACTGGCTACATTCTATCTCCATTGGACATTAAAGCATGTTACAGTTGCTAATCACACACTCTTTGATAGTGATCATGGTGCACACAACATCGGCTGCATCACTCATGCAGATTTTGAAAGTCATAATAACACATTTTGGTTGGGACCTGCCTATGGCCGTCTCTGCCCTACTCTTTGGCGTGACATTCCAAATAGTGATGAGCAGTCTCTGGTCATAGAATGGAATACCAGATTCTCCCTGAGATCCATGCTTGCTCGCTCCCATACTGTCTGGCATCTTTCAGATCAATGCGCCAATCTTTACTGCCCATATAACCCTTCCAACAATGCACACACTGCCTTACTCTCTCCTGATCCCATGCCATCTGATCTCACAAGCATTATGTCACAGGAAGCGTGTATTCAATTCCACTACCCAGTACATGTCATTGTTTGCTCTGGAGTCTACTCTTCCTAATGGATGGCCTGCTCAGCACTATGCAGGCAAGCACCTAGGTCTTCTGTATGCTACAAATGTCATATCACCCCATCTCATTTCCATACCTTTTGTCATGTCCCATATTCTGGACCTACATCCAACAATGTTCCCACGCCTCATCCGGACCTCCGGATTCCCTATCCATGTCTCCAGACCTTCAGTTCCTCTATCTGTCTAATTCCTGGATCCGATATCCAGACATCTGATCTGACATCCACATCTCCAGATCTGACCTATCTGTCATGTCCTAACTCAAAACCTTAAATCAGTGCCCATCCCCTTATGGTAATCACCTGTTTCTGGTCATCCAGTTATACCTATAACTGACTGTACTCATTTTCCGGACCTTGTTCATTTCCGTCTTCATTTTATTATGTTCCAACACAATAGTGTTAGGCTTTCCACATGCTCTATCCATAGCCTTGTATAGCCTTGCACTGCGCTGACTGGTTCTCTGTTATGTCCTCAGTAGTATATAAAACCTGTAAAGTTTCTGTATTTCCTCAGTCTGAATATCATATTAGTCCTCGCACTAGATCTCACACTAAGTCCTCATATCAGTTCTAGTCCTCTAACATGGTCAATATCCATCTCAGGCCTAGGGATGAATTCCCTAGGCCAGAGCTCTGCTCCTCTGCTCCTCTGCTCCTCTGCTCCTCTGCTCCTCTGCTCCTCTGCTCCTCTGCTCCTCTGCTCCTCTGCTCCTCTGCTCCTCTGCTCCTCTGCTCCTCTGCTCCTCTGCTCCTCTGCTCCTCTGCTCCTCTACTCCTCTGCTCCTCTGCTCCTCTGCTCCTCTGAGTTTCCAGAAGTTCCTCTGGAACTTTCCTGCAGTCCTCTGGATCTTGTCCTTGCAGCCTTTCCTCTGTTTGCTTCTACTCAGGACAAGTCCTGAGTAGCCATTACACATATCTGTATCAGGACGAAACCTCATTGTAATTTCCAGAAGTTCCTCTGGAGCTTTCCCGCACTCATCCAGAAGTTACTTGCACTCGTCCGGAAAGTCCTTCCAAACTTTCCCATGCCTCGGATGTCCTTGGACTTTCTTCGGACATCATTCAAAAATTAAAGGCACATGCTCAGATAAGGGGCGCAGCGCACAAGCTGAAGCCAAGCCCCTCGGATAGGTCTTAACACCTTTCCCTGATGACATTACACACCTTATACACATCTTCCAACTTCATGTCTCGCACTGGGTTGATCAACTTGCTCCTGATGCCTTTATCATATCAACATCAAAATTCCGCAAGACTTACAACATCATTCCTGCCACCAACACTATTGTGCCTGAATATAGTATACATTCTTTCGCAAAGCTCCTGATGTGTATTCACCCTCCAATTTGTTGGTCCACAAGCTAGTGTCCTTTGTTGAGGCAGATGAAGATGTAATGGGCAACTTGTTAGTAATCAAACATCCCAAAGGCAACAAGCACGACATTATTGATATGGACACTGATGATATTGTTGTCGTTGATGCTGTCATCAAAGGGTGAGGTGCTTTTGCAGTTTCAACACTACATCAGAAATAAGATTCATGAGAAAATAATACAAGAGGTATACTGTCCTACAGAAGGATGATAGCAGATGGTACTCACTAAACCGCTAGCTAAACCGTCACATCAGAGACTCTCCAACATGATGGGCATGTCTCCAGATTGAGGGGGAGTGTTGTGACATGAGTATAGTCGTTGCAATCAGCCGACATGGTTCGTGCACTTCTTAGTGGAGTTATGAGAGCATCTGAGTGGTGGAGTAAATAGTTAGTATAATAGAATGTTGGAATCGGCCGAATATATTCTGCGCACCACGTACTCCTATTATCGTCGCTGTTCCTACTAAGCCCAAAACCTGAATTATGAGAGTGATGTGTCCTTGCAATATGTGCATCACGAGCCCCTTCAGTGACAAATTCCGTATTATACGGGCCAGCGGATTATGGGCCCATGTTGTGTATATTCTCGATGATGACGGATGGGCCGGGACACATATTATTTCCGATGGAGACGGGTGGGCCCATGTATGCCAATGATATATATATCCTTGATGTTGACAGATGGGCCGGGGGAATATGATCATTCATGGAGATGGGTGGGCCCATCAGGGTAATATGTAGAGTAGGATATTATAGACAGCTGGGCTGAAGAGAGATGTAAGGCAAATATTGTTATATAGACGGGCGGGCCGACGGGGGTGTATTACATATATGGGTGGGCCGAGGTAGGGGAATATTACATAGATGGGTGGGCTGACGCAGGGTGTATTACATATACAGGTGGGCCGACATAAAAAGTATTACATAGACAGGTGGGCCGAGGTGGGGTATAATTATATAGACGGGTGGGCCAACATAGGATGTATTACATAGACGGGTGGGCCGACGTGGGGGATAATACATAGATGGGTGGGCTGATGTGGGGGAATTGTACATAGATGGGTACATATATGGGTGAGCCTAGATACGTATAAATGTCAAATTTTCAGTGCAAAACCCCAAACCGAGATTTACCAACCCCCGAACCCCGAAATTGTGGACTTCCGGGTCCCGGGTTTGGGGGTTTGGGGGTCCCGGAACTCGGAACTCGGTATGTGAGACAACAAAAATATATTTCAAACACGGGTAAGTCAATGTGTTTGTCAATCAACTTGATTGTAAATTATATTTTATTGATCTCCCCAAATTTCCCAAGTTCCGAGTTCTGAGCTCCGGGACCCCTGAACCCCGAAACCCGACAGTCCACAATTTTGGGGTTCGGGGGTCCCGGAGCTTGGAACTCGGAACTTGGGAAATTTGGGGAGATCAATAAAATATAATTTACAATCAAGTTGATTGACAAACACATTGACTTACCCGTGTTTGAAATATATTTTTGTTGTCTCACATACCGAGTTCCGAGTTCCGGGACCCCCAAACCCCGAAACCCGGGACCCGGCAGTCCACAATTTCGGGGTTCGGGGGTTGGTAAAATGTTTATGGATATATGAAAGGTTGATTCAAACATGTTTGAAAGATGTCTTTCATCTCAAAAATCGAGTCCCAAGTTCCGGGTAAGACATCTTTCAAACATGTTTGAATCAACCTTTTGTATATCCATAGACATTTTACCACCCCCGAACCCCGAAATTGTGGACTGCCGGGTTTCGGGGTTCGGGGGTCCCGGAACTCGGGACTCGATATGTGAGACAACACAGATATCTTTCAAAAGTTTGTAAATCAATTTGTTTGTAAATCAAATTTATTGTAGATCAAATTTTATTAATCTCCCCAAATTTCCCAAGTCCCGAGCACCGACCCCCGAGACCCGGCAGTCCACAATTTTGGGGTTTGGGAGTTGGTAAAATGTTTATGGATACACGAAAGGTTGATTCAAACATGTTTGAAAAATGTCTTTCATCTCAAAAATCGAGTCCCGAGTTCCGGGTTAGTGCCGAAGCTTGAAACTTGAAATCAGTGGAAAACAAAATCTCACGACAATGTACACATGAAGATGTTTCATTTCCTTTGACAATTCACCGAGTGTCTTGTACTAACCTGACAACACAGTCTGGGCTTCAGGCTTTGGGTTTCGGGGCTCGGTACATGACACTCAGGGAATTGTTTATGGAAATGAAACATGTTCATGTGTACATTGTTGCAAGATTTCATTTTCCACCGATTTCAAGTTTCAAGCTTCGGCACTCAGCCACTGGTCGGTAGTCAATATAGGCAAATGGTAATGAAAAATGAAAGTTGTTATTACGCTTAACTTCCTTACCAAAGGTTGTAGTCCGAGTCTAGGGGAGTGTATTGGTAGTCTTTTCTTGTCCATCAGTTATCATTTAACCGAGATATAAGCTAAAGAAATCTGAAACATCGGCAATAATGAAAAATGAAAGTTATTATTATGTTTAAGTTCCTGAACAAAAGTTGTAGTCCGAGCCAAGGTGAGTGTATTGGTAGTTTTTTCTTGTCAATTGGTTATCTCGTTACTCGGTACTCGGTACAAGGGAATCAGTACTCGGTATTTGGTTCTGATACTCAATACCCGAGAATCAGTAGTCAGGTACTCGGTACTCGGTTCTGATACTTGGTACCCAAGAATCAGTAGTCAGGTACTCAGTACTTGGTTCTAATTCTTGGTACCTGTGAATCAATAGTTGGGTACTCCAGCCAATAGTCCCGAGTCCCAAGTACTGATACTTGGTATTCAGTAGTCAGGTTTGGAACTTGGGTCTTGGTTTGGTTATCATTTGACTGAGATATTGGTAGGCAATATTGGCACTCGGAGCTCGAATACTGACTATCAACTATCAAGTGTTGGGACTTGGTAATCAGTAGTTGAGACTTGGTGCTTAAATGGATATTGCATATATACATAAAAATACAAAATATGTTCCTATGTGTTCATTTCTAGGTGAATAGACTTTGAAATTATATCTCAATCATCTATTCAACAATAGAAACAATGTATCAGGAGCTCAGGACCATAGGGTAATCCTTTATTGTATAGTGTACCTCCCCCTCTTCTGGTGGTTCACCTGCTGGGGTTTTTTCCCTGTAGGACTGGACCTCAAGGACTGTAGGGAGTCTATTCCTGAGCATATTTGGAGTAGATATATCATATAACCAGCCCAGGACACACAGGATCCTTTTCCAGGAACAAAGCATAGACAATTGCACTTGTGACATTTTTTCACGATTTTCAGTATCTTGCCCTTGCATCCATGATCCAACCTTTTAATATATAATGAGCATAGCTTATATTCTTGCTTCTTATGACCAAGATCAGCTCACAATAGGCTGGAGTTTGTGAGCTAGTGTGTATACTTGCCATTTCGCCTGATAAGGGGCCCATGCCTTCAAAACATTGAATCTTCATAATCAGAAACCTGGGGTACATTTCAAATATCTTAAGTATCATAGACATAAATTTACAGACAAATCAACCAAGAATTGAGTACTGAGGAAGTGAAATGGGTAAGAAATTGAGTGTGGGAAACTTCAAAGACCCAAAGCATCGAAAATGGTTAGTTGAGCAGTGGTAGGACTTTAATGCTGGGTCAACTCATATTTTCACTATATCCCTTCTACCCACCCCCTACCCTCAGGGCAGTAGGCAGTATGGGTTCCTTGGGTAGTTTACGATCTATCCTACATATTTGTAATGATATTTTTGGCCTGAATCATATATAAATGTGACTTTGTATAAAAGATGTCTATTGTCACTCTCCACACATGTCATTTTGCCTATCATTACATCAATCCTTCATGAATCTTTCTAAGCTTTTAAGCTATTATAATGGATGTATATGGGTGTTATTCCAGGTCTCTGATCACATCACAGGCTTGTTATGTTGGATATCTCGACATAATGTGCAAGTCTCGCTATGAATATTCATTCTTTTATCTTTAGACTCACTTACTGCACACATGTATTTCATTTGTCATTATTGATGTTTCGGATTTCTTTAGCTTATATCTCGGTCACATGGTAACCAATGGACGAGAAAAGACTACAAATAAACTCACCTAGACTCGGACTACAACCTTCATTAAGCTGACTACTGATTCCCAGGTACCGAGTATCAAAACCAAATACTGAGTACCAATTACCATGTACCGAGTACTGCATAATGAGTAACAAGATAACCAATTGACAAGAAAAGACTATCACTACACTCACCTGGACTTGGACTACAAACTTCGGTAAGGAAGTTAAGCATAATAACAACTTTCATTTTTTTCATTATTGCTGATGTTTTGCCAAATGACAAGGAAAGACTACCAAGACACTCACCTTGACGTGGACTACAACTGTCATTTTTCATTATCATTTGCCTATATTGACTACTGAGTCTCGAGTACCGACCACTGACCACCGATCACCGAGTACCAAGTACCGAGTGCTGACAAATACAATTCCCAAGTTATTTGAACCCTACACCAATGGATAATACATACAAATACAATTCGTGTCCATTTGAAGTACCGGGTTTCAGGTTTCGACACTCGACACTTGGTGATTTGTGCAATGAGTGAAAAATGGACATGTTGTGTACATGATTTTGGGTTTCGGGCTTCAGGGTTTCGGCACTCGGCACTCGGAACTCGATGATCTGTGTAATGTAAATGAACAATGAACATGTTGCACACCAGGTTTCGAGTTTTGGGTTTCAGCACTTGAAACTCAGTGATTTGTGCAACAAGTGAAAAATGGAAATGTTATATACATATTTTCGGGTCTTGGGCTTCGGGTTTCGGCACTTGGCACTTGGCACTTGGCACTTGGTTATTTGTGTGATATAAATAAAAAATCAACATGTTGCACACTGGGTTTCAAGTTTCATGCTTTGGCACTCGAAACTTGGTGATTTGTGCAGTGAGTGAAAAATGGACATGTTGTGTACATATTTTCGGGTCTCGGGCTTCGGGTCTCAGCCCTCGGCACTCGGAACTCGATGATTTGTGTGATATAAATGAAAAATCAACATGTTGCACACTGGATTTTAAGTTTCACGCTTTGGCAGAACTCGAAGCTGTTGATTTAGATATCACCCGAAACCCGAACACCTGAATGTCAAATTTTCAGTGCCGAACCCCGAACCCCGAGTGCCGGTGCCGGGTGCTGAGTCCCGAAGCCCGGAACTCAGGATTTGACATTTGAGATGAATGAAAATTTTCAGACATGTTTGAATTAACCTACATATATCTATAAACATTTCACTAACCCCCGAACCCCGAAAGATATTTGTGTTGTCTTACATACCGAGTTCCGAGTTCCGGGACCCCCGAACCCCGAAACCCGGCAGTCCACAATTTCGGGGTTCGGGGGTTGGTAAAATGTGTATGGATATATGAAAGGTTGATTTAAAACCCCCAAACCCCGAAATTGTGGACTGTGTGCAGTGAGCAAAAAATGGACATGTTGTGCACATATTTTCGGGGTTCGGGGTTCGGCCCTCGGCCCTCGGAACTCAATGACTTGTGTAATATAATTGAAAAATGGACATGTTGCACACCCGGTTTTGAGTTTTGGGTTTCGGCACTTGAAACTCGGTGATTTGTGCAACAAGTGAAAAATGGAAATGTTGCATACATATTTTCGGGTCTTGGGCTTCGGGTCTCGGCCCTCGGCACTCGGAACTCGATGATTTGTGTAATATAAATGAAAAATGGACATGTTGCACACCGGGTTTCGAGTTTCAGGTTTTGGCACTCAAAACTCGGTGATTTGTGCAACAAGTGAAAAATGGACATGTTGCGCACATATTTTTGGGGTTCGGGGTTTGGGTCTCGGCCCTCGGCACTCGGAACTCGATGATTTGTGTAATGTAAATGAAAAATGGACATGTTGCATGCTGGGTTTCGGCACTCAAAACTCGGTGATTTGTGCAATGAGTGAAAAATGGACATGTTGCGCACATATTTTTGGGGTTCGGGGTTTGGGTCTCGGCCCTCGGCACTCGGAACTCGATGATTTGTGTAATGTAAATGAAAAATGGACATGTTGCATGCTGGGTTTCGGCACTCAAAACTCGGTGATTTGTGCAATGAGTGAAAAATGGACATGTTGTGTACATATTTTCGGGTCTCGGGCTTCGGGATTCGGCCCTCGGCACTCGGACCTCGATGATCTGTGTAATATAAATAAAAAATCAACATGTTGCATGCCGGGTTTCAAGTTTCAGGTTTTGGCACTCAAAACTCGGTGATTTGTGCAACAAGTGAAAAATGGACATGTTGCATACATATTTTTGGGGTTCGGGTCTCGGCCCTCGGCACTCGGAACTCGATGATTTGTGTGATATAAATGAAAAATCAACATGTTGCACACTGGGTTTCAAGTTTCACGCTTTGGCACTCGAAACTCGGTGATTTGTGCAGTGAGTGAAAAATGGACATGTTGTGTACATATTTTCGGGTCTTGGGCTTCGGGTTTCGGCACTCGGCACTCGGAACTCGATGATCTGTGTAATGTAAATGAACAATGAACATATTGCACACCCGGTTTTGAGTTTCGGGTTTCAGCACTTGAAACTCAGTGATTTGTGCAACAAGTGAAAAATGGAAATGTTGCATACATATTTTCGGGTCTCGGGCTTCGGGTTTTGGCACTTGGCACTTGGCACTTGGCACTTGGTTATTTGTGTGATATAAATGAAAAATCAACATGTTGCACACTGGGTTTCAAGTTTCATGCTTTGGCACTCGAAACTTGGTGATTTGTGCAGTGAGTGAAAAATGGACATGTTGTGCACATATTTTCAGGGTCCGGGGTTCGGATTTCGGCCCTCGGCCCTCGGAACTCGATGACTTGTGTAATATAATTGAACAATGGACATGATGCACACTGGGTTTTGAGTTTCGGGTTTCAGCACTCGAAACTCGGTGATATGTGCAATGAGTAAGAAATGGACATGTTCCATACATATTTTCGAGTTTCGGCACTCAACACTCGGAACTCAATGATCTGTGTAATGTAAATGAACAATCGACGTGTTGCACACCGGGTTTCGAGTTTTGGGTTTTGGCACTCGAAACTCGGTGATTTGTGCAGTGAGTGAAAAATGGACATGTTGAACAATGGGTTCCAGGGTCTCGGGTTTGAAAAATAGCATAATAACAACTTTCATGTTTTCATTATCATTTGCCTATATTGACTACCGAGTCCGATAAGGGACCCCTTGGATGATCCATTGCTCAATGAAATACTACCTGATTGGAAGTGTGCTGGTTATCAGATATTCATTTGTTGACTCCCGGGTCCTGGAACTCAGAAGTCGGTACGGTTGACCCAAATTTGGGTGGTCGGAACTTGGCGTCTCGTAGGGCAACACAAGCTTTGCACCCCGAATTCCAAATTCTGCAAGACAACCTTTGCACCATCAAAGGCCATGTCAGGAGATCACCTGCTGCTCCGGGAACTCGGTAACTTTGATTTATTACCTCCTCTGATTTGGTTGATGTACAACTACCTCAGCTCCATCATGTCTACAATTATGATACACATGGGCCCACCCATCTATATTTTATACCACCCTTGGCCCACCCATCTAATACAACATCCCATACAACACCCTCGGCCCACCCGTCTAATACAATATTTTATAATACCCTCGGCCCACCCGTCTAATTTAATATGTGTCTGGGCCCACCCGTGAATGTGATAACAAGTACCTACCCATCTATCTCATACACATCTACCTTAATACACCCATCTGCATAATATCCAACTACCTCGGCCCACCCGTCTACCTAATATTCATATACATCGGCCCACTCATCTACTCTATATATTCCCTGCATGGGCCCACCCGCCTCCATCGGGAATAATTTCCCTCCCGGCCCATCCGTCATAGTCGAGGATATTTTTATCATGGGCCCATGGTCCGCTGGCCCGTATCATATGGGATATTATGCATGTCCGTTCCCTCGTATTATACGGAGATAGGTCACTGTAATATGTGATTCTTCGACATTTGGCTCCAGTGATCTTTTGACCTCTTTCACTCCCGAGACTCCTGAATACGAGGCCCTTCTCAGAATCATTGCAGAGCAAGAATGTGATGATGTTCCGGATGTTCCTGCTGTTGTATGATCATACTTTTCACTCGATTCTTGCTCATGTTTGCTTCTCGTCTACTACTACCCATACTTGTCCTAGTGTCTTGCTCCTCCTCGCTCTGTTTTTCTAGACTAGCTTTAATTGTTGACTCGTTTTTCCTTGTGATTCTCGAAAACATCTTTCTAACTGCACAACCAACATCCGGCACCTCTCTACTTTGACGTGTTGAGTCTCCAACAAATCGATTATATTTACAAGATCCAAGCAGTTATCGAGTCAGCTGTATGTCAGTGCCTTGTTGATCTACTCATGCACAGTTCAACCTCCGTGCAAATGCCCGCTCTTTGTTCAATTGGCAACATTGTTACTGGAGATGATCTTCAGACTCAGGTCATTATCGCATCTGGGGCTTTACCTGCTCTTCTTTAGCTGCTATCTTCCCCAAAAGAGGGTATCAGGAAAGAAGTGTGCTGGATGATCTCCAACATCACCACTGGGTCACCTCCCCAAATTCAGGCAGTCATTGATGCCAACATTATTCCTCCACTCATCAACATCCTTTCCAATGCCGACTTCAAAACGCAGAGGAGGCCTGCTGGGCAATTTCAAATGCAATCTGGCGGTCTTCACAAACCAGCGCAGATCCGCTATCTCATCTTGCAAGGTTGTATCAAGCCACTCTGTGACCTGCTCACTATGATGGATAACAAGATCATTTAAGTTGCCTTGATGGTCTCGATAACATTCTGAAGGTCGGCGAGATGGATAAACAGGCTGGAGGTCCCAGATCTGTCAACCAATATGCTCTATATGTCGAAGAGGTGGGCGGTATGATCACCATCCACAACCTCCAATCACACGACAACCTAGAGATATATAAGAATGTGTTCAATATCATGGACAAGTACTTCCCAGATGAGGAGGAAGTGGATGCAGCAATTAGCGCACCTAGCCTTGATGCTACTGGTACATTTGCTGTGAGTTCGCTGATATTGTCCTTTTTCATGTACTAATTATCTGCGCATTTCCAGGATGTTACTGCTCCTCAAGGAGGCTTTAGTTTCGGTCAGCAGTAAACTGTTGATCTTGTTGATTCGCCTATCTCTTCCACTGTGTGCTACTGTCACTTATATCTTGCACCAACCATTATCGCTCAACTCCCCATTCTGTTTGCAACCTGTGTCTTTCTCCTTAGCCCTTTAGCGCTTGTGCGGTATGTTACATGTACTGCGTCTAATGACCAAAAGTTCCTTTATGACAACAATATATGTCAGAGCAGCGAGAAAATGATTCAGTGTAGTAGCTGATAATGCTTATTATTGGTAAACCTGTACTACCCAATGATGTCTGTTATGCGATACATGAAATTTACACATTGATCTGATGCTGATGCCAACATGTCTCGCCCATCTTCTTTGCGCCACCACAAACTGTACCATCATGGCTTCTCAAATCCGTCCGCGCTGGTGAGTACAACAGGCAACAAATTATTGATCACCTTCCTGACAGCGCTGAGAAAAATACTGTGGGAAACATTATGTCAGCTTGCATTCATGTCATCTGTCTCTTCATGCGTACACAGTGCTTTCTGTCCATCTGAAACCTTTGCACCAAGCCCAACTTCATTGCTGCCATTTCCTGCCATTTTCTCGAACTGCGTGCCACTCTCATCACGAAGTCTATGCCCGAAGTATTGAGTGAGTGAATCCGCTGTTGTTCAAGTGTTGACTTCCGATCTGTTGACACTGTCTGAGTGTATCTGTTGCAACAAAAAGAGTCGTGTGTGTCAGTTGTGGCCGAGCAGACCATTGAATGGCAGAACCAATGGCCAGTCCTCGTTCTTAAACCTACTGTGACTGGGTGCCAGGATGCATATTTGAGAGCTTCGTGGTGGACTGTCCCCAACAAATCTATTGATTTTTTTTATAAATATAACGGCTGCCAGCTGGCTTGACCTGCCAGCCATGGCTAAATTGGCTGAGCCGAGCCCTTGAGTATGTAAGCTGTGCATTTGTAATGGCTTGGACAGCCACATTTTAATTTTGGCTGCAGCCGGGCTCGAAGCCAAAGCCGCGGCAACACTAACTTCAGTGGTGGATTTGTGTTTGGGTATTCATTTCAGAAACCAGAATGCACAAGTTTGAAATCTGGGACTCGGAAGTTGGAACACACTATAGATCAATCTTCAGTAACACAGTTTAAGATAACGAATACCAAGTGACTTTATATTAATCATGTGAAAGCCCTTCAAGGCAGGCGATGCAGAGTCCAGAGTATGTGGCAAGCAACAACAAGTGTACGTAAGTCATTTGGCTGCTTAACGTAAATTTGGACCGTCGGCGGCAAATACCGCAGCATTTTCCCTGTGCCGCATTGACATGCGGTGTGCAGCAAGACGCCTGCAACTACAGCATGCAAAAACTGACCCGAAAAGCAGGTCTCTTTATCACCTTCCACCTGTATCTCTCCCTTCCCTCGATTGCTAAGTTTGCGCAGTGTTTCTCTTCTAGTCTGCCTGTAGCCAACGTGATATCCTATATTGATCAAGGTCATGACACAAAAAGCAGCGGAGTCAAGCACATCAACGGAAACGGGAGAAGCGCTATTGCACTCACCAAAATACCAGACGAGCGAGAAAGATCCACCACCATATGGTGCACAGCACCGCCAGGACGCACTTTGGGAAGGTGAGCAGCCACCTGGATAACCACCAGTTTACTCAATTAGAAACAGGTGGGAACGAAGCGCTTCCTCCTATGTGGCAACAGTATAAGACATCCTCAGATCGTGCAACACTATATGAATAACACGCTCGTGATTAGCTCGTGGAACCAACCTTTGCCAGGAGTGCGACTAGGTGAGGAATGAAAATCGATGAAATTGCGATAATGAGGGACGAACTCACTGTTGAACATAGATTATCCTGGATATATCGTTGTTCCTGGATGCGAATGGCACATCTCACCACTCGGTCGGTCCTACTTCGTCAACCACAATACTCAGACCACGTCGTGGAAGAAACCAAAGCCAGAACGTCCAGCAGGAAGCTTTATGCCGGAGTGCATCATCGAGGGTCACATCAAATGCATATGGAGCCTTGCCTACTTGGGTACCAGTGGCAATATAATGAGCACGTCTGAGGATAGTTCAATTTGTCAATGGAAAGAGATGGAGAGCCAGTTGGAAAACCTTTGAATAGTGATGGGGGAGGGATAGGTTTGATGGTAGTATCCCCAGATGAAACAATGGTCATTTGTGGAAGCGCGGATAGCAGACTGCGGCTGTGGAATATAAAAGAGGGTAGAATGATCGGTGACCCGTGGGAGGGGCATGATGATGAAGTGGTGTGCCTCGATTGGTCTCGCAATTCGCTGGAGATAGCAAGTGGGTCACGAGATGGCACCATACGACGCTGGAACCCGAACACTGGTCGACAAATAGCACCACCCATAGAAGCCAGTCACAGATGGGTTGAAACCGTCAAATACTCTCCACAAGGTGGCAAATTCATGAGCGGCGGAACCGGTCCGATATGCATATGGTCGAAGGAAGGAAAGCTGCTTATCGAGATGAAGGGACACGACGATGTGGTGATGTCATTGTGTTGGTCCAAGGATGGTGCACACATATTCTCCAGGTCAGGCGATGACACCATCCGAAAATGGCGGGCGATTGATGGACAGGAACTTGTCGTTTTTCGGGGTCACACCAACACCGTCCAATCCCTCTGTCTTACTCCCAATGAACACTATATTGTTAGTGGATCAAGTGACTGCTCCATTCGCATCTGGGATCTCGAGACCAATGAGACAGTCGGATATCCACTCTTGCACGATGACGAACTCTTGGTTGTTGTCATGTCCCGTGATGGAAAATACATTGCCAGTACTGGACTAGATAAAAAAATCTATGTATGGAACCTGGAGGCTGCGCTCAAAAACGTTGTGGTACGTATGTGCTTTGTTGTCCAATTTTCCTTCCTAACGATTTTGGCTATCTAGGGCGCAGATGATGGGAATGCAAAGCTCAAGGCAAGTCTTCTCTGCTTCTCTTTCACGCTCCATCTCACTTTTTATCAGCAACGTCCAACTCAACCCAGAGTTGTGCACCCACCAAT